GAGTAAGAAGAATCGTAGGATTGATTTTTTGGTACATTAGAAAGGTAATTCTGAGACAGACGCGAGTTGGGAAAAAGATGTAACTTTTTGGTAGTTCGAGAAACAAATCAAGGAGTATTGAGACAACCTCTCGACGAGGACGTCGAGCTTTCTGGTGGGGGTGGTTTGTTACCCCCTTAGCTCGTTGGTGGCATTGGCATGGGCAACCTCATCCAAGGCGCCTATGCCTTAGCCAATTGGCAGAAGTCGCATGCATGGCTGAGGGAGGCAGTCTATGCACATGAGCACAAGTCAGCATGCAAGTAAGGTAGTCAGATGACTTGAATTGTGGGACAGTGCTAGCTTGGAGGACTAAGCCATGGGCTGGGTCATGGCTAGGCACGAATGCAATAAAATCAAATGCTATGGGCTCATCAGAAAGGCACATACACAACATTTGAAGACGTTGGGCATGTGTCCTACATATGGTGGCAGTTCAGTGTAGTTGTTGGCAGGTGCACAACATGTGGCAGTCTCTATCATGCGCACATAACATGTAGAGAAGTTGTAGGCTGTTGTTGGGTCAGCAACCAGTTGCAACTACCTCTGTCATGATCAACAATAGAGGGAGTGGCTGAAGGTGGTCAGTCATTCAGACTTTGTGGGCGGATTTGAATTGTATGCAGTTGCCTAGGCGGTTGGACTTGTAACCGCCACCTAGAATTTTATAAATAGGCATGTCTGGGTTTGCAGTGCAACCAAGATAGTGTTTTTGTAAGTAGACCCAAGATTGAGTTTCCTTATACTTTGTTGAGAAAGAAAGGTTTGGTCTTTGGCCTGTAAAGGCTGTGTGTTGTGTGAGTTGCTTGTTTGTCCCTACTCTGTTCCTCTGTGCATTTTTGTGAGTGTTTTGAATGTTTGATTAAGACTAAGTGTTAGATCTCAGTGCCATCATGAGGTAAAAATTTGGTAAAAAATTTGACCTCGTGACATCTAGCATAGTAGCCAATCGTCGAGCTCTAATGGAAACTGCAAGATTCGAACTTCCAAATTTTAGGTGAGGAGTATGGTCGGTACCATCACTAAACCACCTTACTCGGTGGTGATTTAACAAGTTAAATATAGTCGAGTTTGTGCATGTATAGGCAAATTCTTTTTAGGCAAATTCATATGTTTATCTTCACAAGTAAATCATATCAATAATTTCATTTCAATTTCTTGTAAAGTTGATCCAAGTCAAAAATTAAAAAAATGACTCGTGCGAATAACCTTTAATAGAGTTGGCAATGTCGTGTCATATTTGTATTGTGTCTAAATTGATTCATTAAATACCCAATACATTTATAACCTCGATAGTTTATCATATAAACGAACTCATGTCAAACTTGATTCATTCAATTCACAACTCATATATGATCATTGATAATCAGACTTAAAAGAGTTTCAAAAAATTGACTCATTCAATACACAACTAAGATTTTGATATTCGAGTTCGTATCATACAATTCGTATTAAAACTAGTCCACTCAAAAAGAAAAGTATGTCTGGAGTAGTTGTCACCAATGCCCTACCAAGTTCTTCTTGATTGATAGCTAGGTGAAGATTTTCCTTATCTCCTAGATTGGACTTATCTTGATTCTTAATTATCCGTTGTTATGTTTTCCACAATGACTAACATAATCAAAATTGCAAAATTCTTTGGGACATCTCAATGAATTTAGAAATCACACGTTTTTTACATAATATAAATCATTGAATACACAACGCATTTATGATTGTTGATACTCTATCATATAAACAAACTCGTGTCCAACTTGCTCATTTAATTCACAATTCATATTTAATCATCGATAATCAAGGTTGAACAGTCTCAAAATTAACTCATTCATCATACAATTAAGTTATGATTATCGATAAATACGATTTGCATTAAAATTAGTCCACTCAAAAAGAAGTGTATGTGTGGCCCACTTATCAACCAATGCCCTCCCAGATTCTTCTAGATCGATAGCTAAGGTGAAGATTTTTGAACCAGTCTTGTTAATGATAGCAAGGTCATGTATATCCAAGAAACAAAAAAGTCCAATTTAATTCATTGACTTATTAAAAAGGATTAATTGACAAAATTATTGTAGCAGACAACTTTCCAGAAGGTCTTCGAGGTTGTCAAGTACAAGAAGGATTCCAACCTTTGACAGCCGCCTTCAATCTTTTCATGGCGGTGTTTCAAATTTAAAATTAGGTAAAGGGAAGTTGGTATCATGACTACTAATTTTCAGGGCCGGAGCTAATACCCCGGATTGGTTCTCGTGGCCTTGTTCTCAAAAGGATGGACGACTTCGATTTGAGTGTTCCTCAATCGAGTGACTTAATATGTTTTTTTGAGTAGTCAGACGAGGTATAGTGTAATGTGATCGACGCATTTGTTTAGAATACAAAAGAATTATAAATTCAAATCGTGTCACTTTCATATGATATTGAAATCAACAAATACTTAAATATAAACATTCATCGATCGTTATCGTCTCTTCTAACTCGTGACTCTAGATCTTAAACTCATTTGCATTTTGCAAAAAAAATTTATATGTTTTAGTATATTTAAAATTTGCCCCCACAAAATAATCTTACACATTTGAATTTATTCATTTATTTTTTATATGAGAATTAAAAATTTTTTACTCTTACATGGGTGAACTTAATAATATTTTAGTTAGTCGTATTCCTCAAAAAGTGTTCAAAAAATTATTCCCTTTTGATATTTTGATATCTCTCTCTCTCTCTCAACAATGTCAATTTATTTTCATAATGAAAATATTCAGCAACAATTACAAAATGTAAGATTTTTCTAATGTGACCTAAGTGTCAATAATTTAAGTTGCGAAAACATTCTCTCGCATATACAAATACATTGTATATGTCTCACCATTCCCACACATTTAACAGAACTCAAACACCAAATTATATTTTTTTATTCATTATTAGTTTAAATTTTTTAATCTTACTATCGTTAAAAGTGTCATGATGATATTAGTAATGGGTCTTAGTATTGAATGTAATGTCTAGTATTTGTTGTCTATTTTGATAAATCGACGAAAGTGATGCTTTAGGTCTTTAAGGCCATGATGCCCTCACTAAGCCAAATTTTTTGCTCCGCTGGAGTTAATTTTGATCATTAATTTCTAAAATTATTAATTAAAAAATAAAAAATTTATAAAATAAAAATGTATATTTTTCTATGTTTAAAAAATAAAAATACAGTACTAAAATTTAATAAATAATGACTTGAGTATTACTGTTACATATATATATATATATATATTCAGTCAAGTCAACTCCTGTTTAGGAGAGAAGAGGGACGCAACCACATTCCTTTTGTACAAGGAATCTTTAATTTTTGATTAACTGTCTGGTGTTGTGTCTTGGTGTGTATGGAAGTTTGTTCATATATCTCTACTAGATAACATTGAAGAATCATTCAAAATCTACGAATTGATATAAGGGTAAGTTAAAAATTTATTTTATTTTACATTTCTCCCAATCATTAATAATTAAAAATAAAATTCACAAATAATAATATCCAAACAAAACATTAAACACTCAAGTATAATTTTATATTGCAAAAAAAATATATACAATAAAACATATCATACTTTGAATTTTATCTCAGTCATATTTTTTTCCTTAAAACCATCACCAATCACTTACCTCACTGATCATCCCTCTGTCAAACTCAAACGTCAAATCACATCACTCATTTTTATCACATATTTAATCATTTAAATATTTTCTCCTTAAAAACATCACATCACTTATTTATATCATATATTTAATCATTTAATATTTAATTAATTTGTAACTAATATAATTTTTATTTCAAACATTATTCATATACAATAATATATACATATTTAAAAAAAATAATATAATTAGATTAATTTTTTGAGCTTTCAAATTTTATATTTTAATATACCTTCAAGCACAAGTTATGACTAGTATATACATATATATATCAAAATTAGTTTCAATTCAAATTCAAATTTTATTTAAAAATTTTGATCTTATTATTAAAAAAATATTTATTTTTGCATGTCATAATCAAAATCCGTTCAAAATCAGACATCCAATCCCAATATCCGACCTAATTTTAATAATTAAAATATAGTTGATTTTAGCATATTATGCCCAAATTTTAACTCAATTTTAATTTGATAGAATATTAATAAATTCAAATCTAAATTCATAAAATATGAGATAGTGGATTTGTATTTAGATTTAAATCAACGGACACAAATGTCGATTCATATCCGTTTAATTAAACTCAGAATTAGATAGGATTCAGATTAAATCCTGATCCATTGACGGCCCTCGATCCGCCTAGCATTCTACATCCAATAGTCTGAGAAATAACACCTGATTAAGGCTTTAGGCCTGCTTTAAAGTTCATTTCCGCACATTGATAGGACTGATGACTCACTAATTCAACATAACAAAATCAACACAAGCTTAGAAAATCTGAATACAGTCCTAATAAATTTGTTTATGAGTTGGGTAAATATTGACATTACCCGACCTATTAACAGCCTAACCATCGGACAGGGAAGATATAACCTGGAGGCCAACATTGTAACAGCCCCAACAGGCCTGCCTACAACCACAATGTCCATTGCATCTACACAAGAATTACTACCATTTACAATGAAACTAGACTGCACTTGCACTGGACCATTTGATCATAGGGTGAACTCTATGTTCGGACGACTGATTTTCACCCTAAACACAATTCCATTAGACCTAGTGTCCGACGCCCTGTAAAAAAAAAAAAAAAAAAGGAAGAAAACCGCCTAGAAATCACAGGTACTTGGTAAAAAAAAAAATAGCCTTGACCTTTTCTAATCTGAACATCAGTGCCTGCAGTTAAAGGGTTTCCTATGTAGAATGTCAAGTAAAACTATTTAGATATGCCATCATGATAGACCTAAAAATGAACGAAACAATCCATGAGACAAGGCAAGCAAACAATAACTACTCATATAAATAGATGAGTAAACCGGAGTCATACTGCATTTATTTGGAGGAAAAAAGGAAAAATAAATTGGTATCAGCATGTGAAATAGGGTATATACCCCCCACAAACTGTAGGTGCACGTTCAACTCAAATACACACTCCGAATAGTTTTTGAAATACAAAGTGACAGACTATACCAAGGACAAACAAGCTAGATCTATGTTTTTTTTTTTTTTGACCAACGTGAACTACAGAACCTACACTTGAAAGTGTAAGTTCCATAGTCTCTATATAAGCGCGCACACACACACCCAAAGCTAGATCTATGTTCAAAAACATCATTTGCCTGTATTCTACAATGGATAATCTAAGGACACAAATACAGCAACATACTTGCTCCGACTAGGAAATGGTTGATACACAAGCAATTTAAATGTGAATTGGCTTGCAACTGACTAAGATACACGCTGGAATCACCTCCGATAGCTTGGAGGTGGATAACCTGAGGGAGGATAACCTGAGGGAGGGTAACCTGAGCCTGGATAACCTTGTGCCTGAGGAGGTGGATAACTATAGGGTTGCCCATAAGCTGGTTGAGGATATCCCACAGAGGGTGGGTAAGGCTGATCAAGGCGTGACATCTGCTGGACTGGGGGCACTGCCATTACTTGTGGACCAAACATACCATCTCGTTTGTCCATTTCAATTTTGTGTTGTGTCTGAAACACTCAACAAAGATTAGACAAGGAAAAATAGTAAGCAGGAAGAGTCATGCCAAACAAATGGCATTTGTACATAAGAGTTCCACACCAAAGGATGAAGCAGAAAATGTTTTGTGTTAACAATCATGAGGTGGTGGGGTTCAAATCTGAAGTCGGTCACTATGCAAATAACACCAAAGATTAGGTCTATAACAGTCCACCAGTTCTAACAGCCTCAATTAACGTAGATCAAACTGAGTAATGATGGCTCCTCATATTTTCTAATGACATTTTTTTAAGAAAAAAGCAACCGCCATTTTCCTTTAGTTTTAGAAAAGCACAAGCACATAATCCATTGTGAAATTTCTGTAAAACTAAGGTTGAAAAATATTTTTCATGTAAAATATAGCTCCAAATGGAAATATCATATGTTTATTTTGCATACCTGCATACATGCACAAACCCTGCAACAACAAAATCATAGAATAAACTCAGTAGGATAATTTTTTAATACTCCAGCTGAGCATGCTCAATGAGTAGGGAAGAGAAGACCTACGTGCAGTAAACCATATCAGCCAAACAAGACAGCAACTGGGAAGCCTCCGAAATTTCCTCACTGCCAACAATCATTGCAACAATGGAAAATATGCATGCAATTTGTTGAAGGCAGAACATGAAACCCTATATATCAGGAAGGAACATGTTTAACCACTAGCAAATAAACCAATCTAGTCAGTGTTTGTCTGTGTGTGGTTGAGAGGAAGAGAGAGTCCATACAATAATGCAATTATCACATTGTGTTGTCTGTATGTTGAACTCATCTTGCAACAGAAAGCGGGTTGAGGCTACTGAATTTCCAAAGCACAAGAAAACCTGCATATTTATATTTTGGACAAGAAAATTTTAAAAAAAAAGACAGAATTTTGAAAAAACATGAAACTAATCATAGCAGTAAAAGAGTAAATTGACTTTTATGCAGCTGCATTATTAAGTAATTTCTAAAATTATTGACCAATATTACACAAAAGAGACTCAGGATGTCCCAAATTAACATGGTATGCTATGCTTTGAACTTCAATACAAGTTTGCACCCACATATAAACATGGCTCATTACAAGTTTCAAATGAATGAATTGGCCACATGAGCAAAGTTACGGCTTTTGAAAACATCCTTCCTCATGCATAATGGTGGCCAAGGATTCATGTTTTCCTATGACATCTTAGAAGCGAGAGACGGTCACAAGGCACCAAAGAATAGGTCAATCATTCTTTAGGGACATGAACCATCAATAAAGGGCGCAAAGGGTATAGAATAGCAAGGATGTTCAAGCTCTAGGGAGGCACATGGATTCGTTTAATAAGATGAGCAATTTCTTTTTGCTTAGAAGAATGAATGAATTGGCAGCTTAGTGCTTCATAATGTAGAGTGGTTTTTTTTGGTTTTTGTGGGTGGGTGTTAGGGGTTTTTTTTTTGTTTTTGTTTTTTTTTTGGGGGTGGGGGGGGATGATGGACGAATAATTGTTCACCATTACTGCTGCCCATCAGCTGGTGCTACCAACTACAGACTTGTCAGCCTGTAGAGGAACCTGTATAGTACCCCGTCCACAATGCTATGGATGGTTAAAATGAGATCCAAATGAATAGGAAGGGAAACAACTAGGAGATGTATGGCCTCTTCATGCCTGCTACGATGGTATAACTAGAACTAACATTTAGTGAAGCATCATCTTCCTTTCCAAAACTTGTAAAAACATAGATACTCACTATATGCTTCCTTCTGTCTCTTTGCATTTCCTTTTTATTATGATATAGTAGTGATAATGGATAGAGATGCCTTCTGATGATAATAAGGACATAGTGCAGTGGAGAATCTAAGGGCTAAAAAAATTCCTATTGAACAAGCTTGATGACTGGCTATTTAAAGCATTGCTTCTCAAAAAGAAGATATCAGAGTTCAAAACAGCTTCGCTGAAAAGGTAAATACACAGGATAACCAAATTTTTGCCTTCTTTCGTGGTAAACTGACAATCAGAGGAGATTGTTGGTTGAGAATGATGCCCAGGAAAGTTCAAAATCCGATTCCTCCAGCATTCAATGTAGATAATTTGGTTCATTTTGAAAACACAAGATAAACACACAATATGACCGACAGTGCAGCCTCTTAAACAACAAATCATATTATCCTTCCACATATCTTGGGGGTAAAGATAAAAAAAGTATCTTCCTCATTTTACATGAATCATGTCTTCCAAGAGAGAGGATGTGAAATTGCAACCCCTCCCACCCAAAAAAAAAAAACACAGAAAAACCCCGAGTTTGGGGTCCGTAGATTTCTAACAAATGTCCAAGAATGCGTCTCAAGTAATAAATAACATATGCATTAAATTAAAGTAATAAAGGACAAATAAAATCAAATCTGTAACATACCTCAGTGGCAAGGCAAAATTCGGGGCAACGACTTTCTCCACACCGGCCACTGCAGGGCAGGTAACCAGCACAGCAAACATACCTAGAAAGACAATATAAAAATAGATGCTATCATCAAAATGTTACCCCATACAAGAGTTTGATTGAGGAAGCAAACTTCTACTCACTTTAAATATTATTATCAATAAGAAAATTACCTTGACATGTCGTTATAAAGGGCTCGTTTCCGGAGCAGGTACGATACACATGGTGCACTGTAGTATAAAAATTTATAAATTAGTTGTCCTAAATTGTTGTGGGAAAATGGCATCCATAACCTGATAGCTTAAGAATAAAATGGCAAAAATGAAGCAAGTGAAAATGTTAACCAACAATTGTTTGAATCTAAACACTTGTTTTACATATGTAAACATGTTCATAGGTAACTCATACAAAAAAGCATCAAGCACTTGAGTTTTTCCCAATATGTTTTTTTATTGGTAATCCCAAAATATGTTTTATAGATCATTTATGTATTAACCAGCACATCATTTAAACATTGCAATAATTTATTTGTATAGCAATCAATCTCAAGTATTATTAGGTTCTTATATCAAGCAGTATAAGTTTGGAAAGGTGTCTACCAATCATAGTTATTAGAATCGGTCCGGACATCAAACTGGCAGAAAGTCTGGGTCAATCGTTCACTGATTCAACCGGTGGGTCAATTAGTCGGACCGGTCGAATAATAAAATATAAAAAATAATGAATAATAATGAATAACTAAACAAATAATTACCATTATAGACCTAGCATGTTTTTAAGTATAGTAGATCACATATAAACAAAAAAAATGTTCACAATTAATTGATTTTCTAAGGTAATTTATAAAACTTAATAGAGCATCAAGTAATAATATGATATGATTATTTTAAGTAATAACATAATATGACAACTAAGGAAGAAGAGAAAGACAAAAAAATTGAACAAAAAGATTGTCCAACTCTGGAGATGAATGTTTCAAATGTAAATGGGATCCCATCCCACATCGAGTGGCCATCAGAATCCATTCTTAGTTTGCACCTATAAAGGCAAACAAAACCCTTTTTTTGTCATCATCTACGTGGCATGCACGATGCACCACAAGCTTCCTTGGAAAGTCTGTCAAATTTTTTTAATTAGAACCAGTTAGCCACAATACAAATCGTGTGGCTTTTCAGGTTTTTATGAAAACCATCCGAGTTTGGCTGGTTTTGTGGCGGGTTAATTAATTAAACGATCTGATTCATAAACTGGGCACCGGTTCATTGATTTTTCGGGTTAACCCGTCAGGCCAGTTCCAGTCCGATATTAATAACAATGCTACCAGTAAAATGATTTTTGTTTCCTAGAAACAAAAATCATCATTAAATAAAGGGAAAAAGTACAATTTAGTCTACCAACGAAATAATTGATTAGACCATAAAAGACCAAAGCCAGCAAAAATTAGACCAACCAAAAGAGCTAATTTTCATGATTAGACATGATTCTCATGTTTTCATGTCATCATTTGGATCGGTGAACCAAATCAGGTGATTCTATCAGCGAAAAGAAAAATACCATAAACTTGCAACTAAGGGGAATAAAACACAATTTAAAAAACCTTTGTTGATGGGTTTTAAAATTTGTTGAGACCAATTAATCTGTCCATATCACTATACATCCACCAATATGCATCGCAATGATTAACATATATAATGGATTAGGGTTTTGCAATCAAGATCTGAAGTTCTATTTTCAGTTAACCCAATTTTTCCCTAGAAACATGACATAGTGAATATTTTAATTTCATGGTGAAATAGCCCAACAAGGTCCGTATTTTGCACTCTAATGATTGAATTGGAGCCAAAGTAAGGAATAAGAACAAAATATTTAAGCTTCTTAGGAACCACCAACACCCATGATCAGTAAGTGGCCGACTACCATTATCATGGCTTTCAAACACTCAGATTGTACTACAAATTTTGAATTTTTTTTTTTTGGTCAAGTACTACAAATTTTGATTAAAAAACATGAAATATGCGTTTCTCAAAAACATCAAATAGTGGGTAAAAAAATCTAACTGATCTCCCTCGTTCTAACAATATGTAGGGAAAAATCTTAATCGACAAGAAATCTCACCAACAAACTCGACAATGTAGAACAACATATTCACCAGATTATATCAAATGAAAGTCAACTTGGAAAACTGAAAAAGGCGAAATAATTATATAATCAGCTAATTCATTCATCGATCTATTCAATCAAACAAAAAAGACAGATAAAAAATTAAAATTATCATGATATCCGAAGCAAAATATCAAATTACTATAAGTCAACCTTAGTAACAATAAGTCCACAGGCTAAACTTCCCCCAAAAAACACAAATCTCACTGAAACAAAACCCCATAAAACATATAATAGATAACAGAGCAAAAGAAATCAGATCCGACACAATCTCTCAACAGATCAAACGGTACTTACCACCAAAACGACAAGCAACAATCTGCAAAAACATATAAACAAATTAAACCAATAAGAGAAGATCACATTTAAGTAAATAGAGAGAAAATATTGGGCACAGAGAGAGAGAGAGAGAGTACAAGGAAAGTCGGCCTGGATGGTGTGCATGAGATCGGTGTGCCAGAGGTTCCGATAGGTCTGACGGACTTGCATCTTGTCGAGATGTGCCTGAGACGCCATTGTTCGTGGGTTCTGTGTGCTCAAATTCCCAAAAATGAAAGAGAAATTCTAACCCTTAAAAACACAAAAAATCCTATCTTCTCGCTGAAGAAGACAATTTAGACAATTCCTTTTTACTACTATTATAGCCAACCAGACGAAGACGAAGTAAAAAAAAAAATATATGAAAGACGAAGACGAAGACGAAGACGATGTAAACGAAGGCGAGAAGATAGGGAAGTTTCTTTGAAGACCGCAATCTCCTGCGCGGCAATAACCTAATGATTTCGTGACAACTGGGGAGCACAGTTGCAAAAAAAAAAAAAGTTATTTAATTTTGGCAAATAAGAAATAGGCAAATTAATTACACAGAAACCCTTAAACTTGAGGTTAATCACATATAACCCCCCTCCACTACCAAGTACTTTCACTAACCCTTGATACTTGGAAATAAATTGAACTTCAAATCCAATTCCCTTTTTAACGAGGCTCCATTACTATTACGAAGTCCTGACACACCAATCAAACTTAACTCACAAATTGAATTTGAGTTCATTACTTTAATTGACAGTGGAGTTGCAATTGCAATGCAAATTCCCCATTGCCATCAATTCAATCTTTGCCTACATTTGTTTTGGGGAATTACACCGTTAGAACTCTACCAACTAAATGCACTATATTATCATCATTGCAAGAATCCTCTAAGGTTACAATACTATTATTCTTCCTCAAATGTTTTCTTAATCACAATTTCGTCTCACGTCCACTATCGTGTAAATCTTCCATTTCAAAAATGGAGTTCGAAGCTGACATGACTCATACGATGGTTAAGACAATGCTTTGTCTTTTTTTTCTTACATCGCTTTGACAAACTTGTTTTTTTCTAGTTATTTTTATAATAGAAATTTTTTTTAATAATTTTATGTTTACATTAGAAAATGGTGATGGAAGGTCTGCAACAATTGGCATGAAATCAAGTCTTAATCAAAAAGTCATATTTTTTTTGGGTGAATTTAGTAACTATTGCGTTACTAACATCCTGAGTTTTCGGCCTTATTTATAGGAGTAATGTTTAATATGAGAGAGAGAGAGAGAGGAATTTCTTGTCATCTTCCTCAGTGGCTGTCAAAGCAGAGACCCAGTGTCCTCATTTAGTGTTTATGCCTATTGCTTCAACAACTCGTTTACAAAAATAAATGTTCAGCTATATATTCATACACGCACCAAAATAAACATAGAAAACAGAGCTTTCTTACAGTGGTCCTATTTTTCAGTTCCAATTGTCGGAGCTAATTCCTATGGCTTCTGATCTGTTTGTGTATGAAAACACTTTCTTTTCTGATCCATTTTCTCCTTTCATTGAGTCGCTCATTGATCATGATAGTATCTTCCAAGCAATTTCAGACACATACCACAACTCGGCCGAGAGAAACCCTCTTGACGAAACCAATTCTCTGGACCAAAGTGCACCTACCCTCCTCTCTTCCTCACCACCAAGTCACCAACTTGGGAATCTCTCTCTCTACCAACACCAAACCACCCATTTGGCAACTGCTTCTTCAATTTCGGCAAATAGGTATGCAGATTTCACTGTTTTGGAGGTCAAAACAGAGGAATGTCGAGCTCTTATCGACTCTCTCTTTAGCTATAGTAACAACTTCTTTGAGCCTCAGACCCAAGGCTTGAGCTCTCCTGCAAATAACTCCTCTATTGGTCAAATAAGAAGGGTTTGCAGCACTGGAGATTTACCAGTTAGTTTATCTAAATTCAGCCTCTTTTATGTTTTAATCACTCTCTCTCTCTCTCTCTCTCTCTCTCTTTCTCTCTCGCTCTCTCTCTTGAATTATGGATTATGTTTATACTACAGAAGATCAAAACAGCAGAGACAAGTCACAAGTTGTCTTCAAATCCTTTAAGCACAGAGAGGTCATCCATGGAGGAAGCCAACTTCAAAGTGAGACGATATAGTGCGGAAGAGAGGAAACAGAGGATTCATAGGTACAAAGCAAAGCGTAATCAAAGAAATTTCAACAAGACAATCAAGGTAAAAACTATAATTTATTTCTTTTACCCAGAATTATTAAAACTATATGCAACAATTTAGCTGAATGTGGTTGGTATTTTGTTCTTGTGCTGATACAAGTATGCTTGCCGGAAGACACTGGCCGACAATCGGCCTAGGATACGTGGCAGATTTGTACGCAACGATGAAACAGGAGAGATTCCTAAAGCTGCAACTTATAATCGATATGAAGACGAAGATGATCTTTGGGTTAGTCTAATTGTTTCACATTCTACTTCAATTATATTTTTTTTTTTTGGTTCATTTAATTACATTATTTCGGTAACTTGAAAAACAGAAAATATTTTGACGTATTTCAGAAATGTTTCGATCCATTTTCGGAAACAAAAAAATTAAGAATTATTTTTCAAAAACATTGATCAAAATATATTAAATTATTTTAAAATACCTTGAAACATTTCGAAATAAGTGTAAATACATTAAAACATTACAAAACACGTTAAAACATTATAGAACATCTCGAAATATTAAAATTTTGATTTCATCGTTGATTCGTTTCGGTCTCATTGAAAACGAAAATATTTCGATCATTTCGAAATAAAATTTTGATTCTTGCTTCTCATTCCCAATAACGGGGCATTGTGTAGTGATATAAGCCACCAATGTTTCCAACAAATTTTTTTATGAATGTCAAAAACATTTTAAAAAAATGATGTTTGTAATCAAACTAATGACTATAATGTGGTTTGTAGATTGAATGAAGATGAAGAAAGAAGATTGGATGGAGGAGGAGGAGGAGGACCATTCTTCAACAACTATGTCCCAACCCAATTTCAGTACTATGGCTATTCATAATTGAACCTATTTCAAATGAGCTTTCTTGTAATGATTCAATATATCACCGTGAATATTTCCAATGCATGTCCTTAGAAAGCAGTAATAGTGGTAGTAGGATAGCATAGCAAAGCACCAACGGGAGATAAAACACAGAGAATGTTGTCCATTGGTAGCTCTTGCTTTTCTTGGTCTTGAATTCAATCGTGTATGAACAAGTTTATGCCTCACCGACCCTCTTCCAGTCTTCTTTTTACAACAAAAATGAGTGAGAGGCAGAACCAATTGTCAATGGAAAGAGCAGAATATTAAAGAATGCTTACTTAATTTGATCACCAACACATCAACTAACTATGATTCCAAATTCTCACCTTTGACCAGAACCTTACTGAGAAAGAATTGACACTATAAACTATTTCAATACCATATCACTCCACTGCAACAGATTAGGAGATGATTGGTCCATAGAAAACTTAATGAGATACCTCAGAAAAAAATATTTCACAAGATCTAGAGGATACAAAAAATTAAAAAAAAATAATAAAAAAGAAACTCATTATACTAGAATTTTGTCATTTAAGAGTACAAGAAGCATCGAATGTATATAGTTTTAACCTTGCATACAGAGAAATTGTACTCGCGTGTAATAGCCAACATGACCAATAGACCAAGTTAAGTGTAGTACAGTGAGGTGTTACAGGTGTCATGTGCGCCAACCCACATTGCTTGAAGAGGAAGAGTTCTTGAGCTACATAAATGATTTTCCTGTGCAAGAGGTCTTTTCTAGACAAAAGCCTAGAAGAACAAAACCTCGAGGGACAACTCAAAGCGGATAATATTTTGAAGATGGCAGTGGGATGTTACGTCGCAAATTGAGCCGCTCAAGTTATGATAGAATAACTTTATTTCGATTAAAATGTGATGCTTTTAGTTATAATAGAACAATCTTATCACGACAAATAAAAATGTTGAGAAGAAAATGAGAGGATGGGGCTGGCCTGTTCAGTCCAAGAAAAGTGTTCTTGTTGGTTTTTTGACAACTACATATTCTTCAACATTTCTTAGTGATTTGCCCGACAAATATTAAAAGAGGAAATCATTAGAAAAATGCGTGCACGAATGTTATATGTAACTAGTGGGTGGACTTTTACTTCTTTTATAATACACTGCACCTAGCAGACAGGAAAGATTCTATATGTTATGATGATCGAACCTTTGATTAAAGATAGAAACAAATCATGAACAGAGCAAAACATAAATGTTTTCTTTTCCCCATTGGCAAAAGATATGCTAGAAGGTGGTTCAACACCTAGCAGCAGAATGATTTTTTTTTTTCAATAGTAAGGGGTGTTCGGGTATAAAAAATAGGTCATCTACATCAGAAATAAGATATTCACAAATGATAAATCTCTTATGACCTAACTCAAAAGGGTTGCCACTTGAGCTACTCCTTGAGATTCAATAGAATAATTCAACTCTTTTCTTCTAGACAAGTTTTAATCAGGCTAGTATAACTCTAGTCTTACATGATATGGAGTGAGTATTTTGGGAACGAGACACGAAAAAAAGCTCTGGACACAAAGAATACATTGTATACACCTATTTTTCTTTAATTTCAAGATAGCGAGAAACTCACGTATTAGATTCTCTTTTTAAAGAAATTATATTTTATAATTCGTATTTTGAGTTCTTTTTGCAGGAGATTGTTGAATTTAAGGCATGTTTACAGTGGTTTTATGATTGATTAACCCACCCTTTGACATGTTTTTGTCCCCCTAAGTAGTGGAGTCAATATTTGAAGACTCTCTCTGATTTGCTCACTTAGTAACCCTGTACTGCAAAATAATTGTTTTATTCTGCTTGTCTCTCCCACTAAGTTCGAAATGGGAGTGGTGTCCATGTCAAGATAAAGAGTTGTAGTTTGCTTTGTATTCTTCATCTTCCTCTCTCCTTCCGGTTTAACCTTTTATATAGGCAGTAATTGTTCCATTATTATTGCTCGATTAAGTGAATCTATTACTGTTTGTAGTTTTGTTTTGTTTTGTTTTGTTTTTTCCTAACAAAAATTTGTTTGAATTACGCACCATTTTGGGTTGGGTTTATGGGTATGTAACAAAATAAGACTCAAACTCAAGACGTGTGAATCTACATTTCAATGTTTTTATTATTTGCTTGATCATTAAACCAAACTGTGTGGGTTAATGTTTTGAGCTTTTTTACCTTTCCTTTCCTCTAAGAACAGGTACAATAAGTAGCAGCTCTCTTTATATGTAGTAAGGGGTTAAAAACCTCTAGTATCAGAGATGAATTGTAAAATTAAACGTCATGAGTTCAAATCTTGACAACTTTTTAAGACCAGTGTCCTTCACGAATACTTTAATTCTAGTGTAAATAACATGTCTTTGATCGGATCGAAAAAAAGATTAGTTAAGATGCACGTAAATTAGTTCAGACACTCTAACCGTTAAATAAAAAAAATGCAGGGGATTAGAAGCATAAAACAAAGGAATGTTACAAAGCAGTCAAAAATGCTAGAAAGAAAGCCCCCTAGGTCATGCATCTCCAGTAGTTCCTCCAATGTGTGAAGAATCCATAAAGTAAAAAGGCATCAATCAACTCTTTCTCTCTCTCTCTCCATCAAATTTGTATTAAGTTGGTGGGGTCTCTCACCAACTACAAAGAAAGAGACAAGCTCAGTTTTGTGTGTGCCGACGGCTTAAATTTCAATACAAAGCATGAAATGGATCAAAAACCCACTTCAAGAAGTACATGGAGTGGTGGTATGGAATGGATAGGCTCCCACTAAAATTATAAGACTGTGGCTCGTGGACTAACTTTTTTGCATCTGTTCATCGATGTAAACTGCATCTCCACTTACAGATAAGAGTCGGCAATGAACCTACTATTATGAAACTTACGTGCGTTACTGCACAGACACACTGCCATACATTCACTGTGCATATTGTGTGTGAGAGGGTGAGAGAGATGGGCAGTTGACGGCATCTATTGGCGCATTTGGGGAGGTAATAGCGATGTGGAGAACTGGGCAGCGTTGGGAGGTATTTGGGGGGCTGGAGGAGGGAGAGAGCTGGGGAAGAAGGTGGTGGTGTTGGGAATGTTTGTATAGGATTAGGATGTTATTTCAATGCTTGCTATCAATAGTTTTGAATAACATATTTAATTCTATTTCACTGAAAAATAAGCACAAAAAATTGGAAGTGTGAGCACCCACAAGTTGGGATCGAGAGCTATGTGATGAGCGACTATCCAGCACGGTTTGGAGAGTATTTTTAGCCCGTGGTGAATGAAAATCCTCCATTCAAACAAGAAAGAAGAAATTCTTCCCATTTTAAAGTCACCATTGACTCTATTTATTATTATGGTAAATCAATATATCAAGACGTCCACTTACAAAATTTATCTTTGACTTTCGTCTCAATATGTGTATTATTGTACATTTTCTTAAAAGAACATTCATTCATTTTTTTTTCCCTGCTGACCACGACAATTGAAACGATGCGAAAATTCCAAACCAAGAGAAAGGCCGATGGTGGGCATTTGGGAAACTAAAAAAAAAAAAGCCAACTCGATAACCGGGAGAAACAAAACAAAATCAAAATTTGGCTGAAAAAGAAGCAAGGCTATGGATACCGTTACAAGATGTTTATACTGATCGATCATAAAAGAAAAATTCCGATTCATTACCATTAAACTTCCTTCCCACTAATATGAACGTTCTTAGATGCAAGAAAATGATTCCATTCCAAACTCAAAAAACCAAGCAATCGAAAAGATTCTTTAATTTTATTGTCTTTTTGAATCACAAAAAGGTCCGACTAATACAACTTTTTAAAAGGAGGATTTTTCCATAGAAACATTAAAAGATGAAGAAGTGGCCACATTACTCTTGCAAATTCTAGAGAGTCAGTGATTTATGCCCCTGTAGAATATGAGATTTGTCAGTGAACTTGTGACAATCAGAAAGTGTTGTTGTAGTTAAAATTATCCGAAAATAACAGAGAGAGTACCCAGGTTCTTCGCCAGCCTCTCAAGCACACAACAAAGATACATATCATATTTGTATACACTATACACAAGACAGACAGTTCTCCATTTATTCTTCCGAGCAAACTCACAACTTTCTGTCTGAGAAACATATAAATACTTGCTCTCGCTATAACAACCAAGAACCAAGATGGAAGGTTCAGTTGCTTGCTTAGACAAAACGTTTCTTGAATAAATGATGTCTCTTCGATGGATCCTTGGGTTTGCCCTTCATCTGGTGTTTGTTCCGTCCAGCACTGCAATAATAAAATAAAGACGCTTGTTAAGGTCCAAACAGCAGATAAACAAAACGATAAGCAACAACCAATTTCTTAGGCAGGAATCTAAGCAATGAATCGGAATTTCCCAGAAATTTACAAACATTTGCATGCAGGTAGGAGGAACTGCCAAGCCAGTGAATCTGCCGATGGTCAGAACACTTGATCGTGTATCAAAGTTTTATTTTAGAGTCCAAAAATTAATTTGAGAGAGAATTTTCAGAGGATCAAATTAGCTAAAACAAGCTATGAACAGTCCCATTCAGGAGGAATTTGGTCATTTGATATTAAGTTTCTTGATCAACGCATTTTTCCAGTTTGTAGAGCTAAAAAATTGCCAGTAACTTAACGTACTTAAACAAAAGATGGCTAATTTTCACTCAATAGAAGTCTGAAAACCACGCACATTTGAAAAATGCACAGAAATTCCAGATTTTCTAGTTCTCAAGCATTTGAACCGTTAAGGAGTCTTCAAGTCTAAAGAACAAAATTTTCTATGCAAAATGACTGGAAATTGGTAAAAATGCTGTGAATTTCAGTCTGCAACACTAAAGAACCATTCTGACAAAAAAAAATCTGAACCACATTTCTATGCAAACAGACAAAACATTTTAGCAAGAAAACTCAAAAGAACCATAATTCTATGCAGACAAACCATAAAATGGGGTGGAAAAAGGAAATCAAATAGTGCAGAAACCTTGTAGAAAAAGCAAGATAATGAACGACCCAGAAACAAAGTATAGCTTGCCATTCATTATATAGAGAAAAATATAAATACAAATTCTATGGAGGCAACAAAAGGGAAGTAAGCATACTTGTATTCCATGTAAACCATCCCATTAGCTCCTGACATGTAACTCATAGATCCCGCAGAGCGACGGGCTTTCTGAAGGGCAATATCATCTGCATCTTCTTCTAATTGCTCCAAACCAACTGCATCATCACCTGCACTTAACACCTATAATGAAAGCAAGGAAAATAGTATCAGTAGATTTAGTGAGACAATCATGTCTCAAGCCAAATGAGAAGCAAGCGAGAAAACCTTTCCAAGAAGTGCAAGTTGATCATCAAGATGATAATAGTTCAACTCAGGTCCAGTATCAGGCGGAGGCAGGCTCGTAATTACCTGTGAAACGGTTAAATTAGTAATACATTAAGTAGGACCAGTTAACCAAGTGATGACTGAGCTAGTAACAAATCACATCACAGATAAACCTTCATCAATCAGAAGACAAATACTCTAGGAATGGCAGTCCACATCTTACAGAGTAACAGAAATACCATGGTCCAGAAGAGTCCAGAAGGATATAGACAATACATGACATCCTCACAGGTACTAAGGAAACTGGTAAGCATGTAAACACACAAAATTCAATGACATAATGGAAAGCTTTACCTTGAAGCTATAACCTTGATCAATCAAAAACTGTTGCCTTTTAGTTGAGTAGTACATTTCCTACATCCAACAGTAGCAATTTAGCAAAAAAGAATATTGTGCATTGCTGACAACTTATATGTGTTGATTCCCAACATTCACCGGAGATACTAATTTCAACTGAAGTTGGCAAGCACCTGGGTATCTGTAGACACAAGGGAGTAGAAAAATGCATTGTACTCCTCTTTACCTCCTGCCATCCTATCCTGAAGCCGACCCTGTCAACCAAACAACAAAATCAAGACAAAAAAACAACAATTGTTATATTATGAACAAAAGAATCTCATCAGGTGGCTTTGTACCAATGGTAAATATACATGGTGCGCACAAAAACAATTACAAAGCACCTAAGCTAATTCCTTCACGTTATAAAAAAGACAAAAATACTCTCATTAAGAACAACTCCAAATGAAGTATCTATCATGAATTCCATTCCACATTGGCATTTCTCATAATACTATCACACGAATGACTGAGGTAGGATGGCCTATTATACATATAATACTTCAAGATCACACACCTTTGCCCTGAGAATGCGCCCAAGTCGTTGAGCTTCTTGACGTCTTGAACCCGCATGTGATGAAATTTGAATAATTACATTTGCCTCAGGAATATCTATAGAATTATCACCCACCTGTGAATAACAGAAGCAACAACATCACTATCATCGAACAGGAGTCCATACATTTCAGTGTATAGTCTGTAAAATACATTCAACAATATGGAAACATAGGATATTCCTATAATCATTGGTAGCAATCAAGATTCAGTTCTCTGTGTTGCCTGAGAATCGATTAAAACACAAACAAATAAAAAGTTCCCATGCAAAATTCTGTTAAAAAGAACATGCATGCACATCACGTTAACCCTAAAGAGTGACCACGCATCACATAACTTATTTGCTAGCTAAAACAAGGGAGATTATTAAGGCCATTGTGATGTATCAAATTAAATTAGTTGTAAAGAATAGAAGATAACATAAACCCATAAATAAAGGCCTCACAAAAATAAAACCCTAATTATACAAAGCTACTGGCTAGCTAAATGATTAAATGATCATTGGTGCAAAGAACCTTTGAGAGGAAAACAGTGTTCACTTCCCGACTAGTTTTGAAGGCATCAAGAATTTTTGTCCTTTCAACATGACTGCACATTGGAGAAACCATTACATGTTTGCAGATGTGATATAGGACAAGTAAAAGATAATCCCTTAAAAAAACAAACACCCACAAAACCTGGTAGCACCATATATCATAGGTTTCCGAAGCTTCATTGCATACTCTGTCAGTGCAAACAGATTGTCAGCAAAAACAATTATCTTATCACCACGTTGCTGTTCATGAAATCGGATAAGAAACTCGCAGGCCCGAAATTTATTTGGGTTCATCACATAAAGTGCCTGAAAAATAAAATGGGGTTATCAGTGTGCGGGAAGACAAGAAACTATGGAGTACAACTTACATTATGAAAAAACTATAAATTCAGTTGACTATTCATTAAGGTAAAATTTCTTCTTGCAGAGAAAAGCATCCTATAGCTTGGTGTAAAGCATTCATGCAATTGAAAAATAACAGCCACCCACAAGTTTGTATAAATGAAGGCAGTATATTCATTTCTTTTGCATTTAGTGAAATTATATTATTAAACAAAAATATACAGCTATGGGCAGTCCAGCATACAAGGAGGCAGCCCAAATTTATTTATTTGGTTTGATTTCTAGACTCTAGTAGGAGATTCTAACAAATTTACTAGGCTACCTTCTCCGTCAGAAAGATGTGCAGACTCTAGTGCTTACCCTACTTCAATCCTGGAGTTTTTAAGATTGCCTTGACTCATCTCTACATGATGACGGTTTCAAGAAAAATTGAGTATTATCAAAAGAATGAAATCCATTCTATCCTACCAGTACAATCGGGGAGTTACTGAAATAACTTTCCTGAACTTATAACATTTAAAACATGGACCACCAAAAAACATTTAAAACCGGCAGACCTGCTTCTTCCTAGAATTTTCTTTCTTCAGATATTCAGCAAAGAACTCCTTCGTCATAGGACACCACACCTCAGCGCACTGTACGTTTGCAATAAATCCACCTTTCACTAAATCCAACCAATTTGCCTCGTATAATTTGGGACCAATAAGGAAGTTCAAATCTGTTATCCTTTCGTCCTCTCTCACAAGTGTTGCTGCAATTTAACAAGTCAAATAGTTTTCGGTTTTCAGTAAATATGGGTCAAGTAAATTGGTTGATATGCATAATGGTAATACATTACATACCAGTAAGCCCGAGTTTGCAGTGAGATTTAGTAATGCTGATGACCTTTCGAAACATGTGAGCAGGAACCACATGAACCTGAGTGAAGATCAATAAATAAGAAAAAAGGAACATACAATATCCAATGATGCCCATAAAGTTTCAAATCCATGTCAAAATGTTTGTAAATGTATTTACCTCATCCATGAGAAGTAATCCCCATTCTCTATTTCTTATTTCTTCAATAATCTTTTCAGATTCTTCAGAACGCTTACCACCAAAAGCGACCATGTTATATGTGGTCACAACCACCCCAGCATTACCACGGAATCTTTCTTTGCTATCAGAGGTGAAACGACATATCTGATCATCTCGAATGGTTGACCACAATTTGAACTGAAAAGCCCACTGATCCACAGATACAGCATTCGTTGCCAAACATAGGCAGCTTTTCCGTATCCTGCTGGCAGCAGAAACACCCACTAAAGACTTTCCCGCACCACATGGTAACACAATAATACCAGATCTTGCTCTGCCTGCAATGTCAAAAAAAAAAAATTTAAGAGCTCATAAACATCAAGTCCTTCACAAAATTGTGAAAAAAATATTTATACAACAAAAAATATTTGCATAAAAGTCATCAGTATGAAAGCAAGAGAATGGTTTCAAAACATATAGATGTCTAAAAATTAGCATGATCAGCAAATATGTAATTTGCACAAAATTGAGCACATTACAATGCAAAGTAGTAATAATAATAATTACTAGTACAGTTGTTATTCCTATATTATAATTATTACCATCAGCAAACATCAAGATAGCTGCAGAGATGAAAACAAACTCCTCGTTCTCAAAAGATCTCTTCAGTTGAAACTCTAACTAGAAAAATGATGTTTCTGCAATCCACAGGTAAGCGGAACAGGGAATACATAATCCTAAACCCTAAGCCTAAGCCCATGAATTAGTATAGATTATAGTTTCAATATTTTTATATGCTCATTTCAACTTTGCCTAAGCTTAACTACAAGTCCTTTTAAGCATTATTGTAGAAAGAAAATCCTCCGAAATCGATTTTCTTAGATTCAAATGTTCCGAGAAAAATGGCTAAGCTTCACTACCCAACCCTATCAAGCTGTGGTGCCTCTTGTTGTCCCTGTCCAGGATTTTGGGTTGCATGAAGATCAGTTGGAGGGCTGGCTGCTGCAAGAGGATTGTACCAGCATCAGTTTTAGGCAGGACCCTTTCTATCTTCCGGGGTATGTTCAAAGGAGCAGAAAGGCAGGTATATAATGATGTCAAAGCTTCACTCCCTTACTCTTATCTATCCCAAACTTTGTTTTTCATTGTCCAATTAGTGTGCAGAGATAGGTGCCTATATGCTTTGGCAAGAAATTAATTTTTCTGCAACAGCATACTCTGCACGTACATGTGCTGTGTCCTGCACCTCCTTTGGAACTTTTAGTGTTCATGTTTGGTTGAAAAAAGAAATGGAAAACCAGTTCCAATTAGAAGTAAGTTCACTGGAATTAGAGTGACTTAAATTATCAGGTTCACAGATGTTCACTATAATATACAAGCATTGTTGCAGAGAAACATGATCATTCATATTAAACAATTGATGCTTAGTTATGTACACACTCAACTAAGAATAGATCATCTAGATACATATCAACTTACCGTTTCCAAACATCTTACTGAGACTCTTCTCTTGATAAGGGCGTGGTTGTGCTTGAGGCTTCAACTCCATGTCAAGGTCAGGATTGACCTACAGTGTCCAATGGGCATAAATCAAACAGCATTAAGGCAATAATTTTCCAAACTTTGATGTAATCATTTGTAGTAGTGACAAACTTGTTCCTTCAGTCAAGATTGCTCATCATTAAACTTCCCAATCCTACCATGCCCCGGGGGTGGTTGGGAGAGAGATAGAGAGAGAGAGAGAGAGAGAGAGCTCACAGTATCATTTCTGAAGTCATACTCCTCCAACATGGGATAATTTAAAGCATTAGGCAGGCAACGTTGCTTTACATTTTCAACCTGTCAATTCAAATTTAATAAACAAAAAAGCTAACCACTGAAAGCGTGAAGAACCCAGATTTTGAGTCTTTGACCTAATCACATTGAGCCACCTGAGCAGGGTAAATTTCAAATGAATGAGTTTCTTTTTCTTCGGCTGCAGCTGCCAATCCTGCTTCATTTAGCAACTCGTCATGGCGACCTTCTATTTCACCCACTGATTTTCCCACCGTGAATCCATCACTTCCCTGCACCCCCTAAACACCAAAGATGTACATATAAACCTAAAGTCAATTACAACGAAAAAATTAGAAATACATTTTTTTAAATAATAATAATAAAATAAAATAAACATGTCTCCCCCCCCCAAAAAAAAAAAATACAGTAAAAGTTACTAGATTAAGATGTTTGGTGAGAAATGCTTGGCAATTTACAGCATAAAAGCATTCTTTTTGAGGTTGACTGTCAGAGTCCATTGCCAAATAACCCAAAACTTCACATCAGTATGTCAATTTAATTCCGGGGAACTCACAAGACACTCTAGTCTCCATAAGAATTCAGAACACACAAAAGAAAGCACACACTTGCACAGACACACAACAGGATGGCATATATATAAACACTCCGATCATAAACACATATACTAATGACAATAATGACAAACCTCAGTGGAAATCCTTGCTCGGGATATAACCTCGTCCTTAAGCAACCTCTTCAATACCTGCAGATGACCATCAGTATCAAGGGCTAGCAACCCAATTTTCCTCTCCATTTCTATCTATGAAAAACAGAAAAGGTCAAACTATCTTGCCTCAGGAAATGGGGATTCGATCAAGTACCGATTCTTCTTAAGTACAAGCTTCACTTTGCCATAATTGGCAGTAGACGCATGTATGAAATCAATCATCTCTTTGGGAAGCTTGGTCTTTGACAATTTATTTAAAACAGCTACAATGGTCTCAGTTTCAAGACCCACTGACACGGCCGCATACAATGAGTGAGGGGTAAGGTTGTATTCGTGCATCGACTCCGGCCTATAAATCAAAATTCATACATATAAAGAACAAAATCCCATAACAAAAATATGAACTTATACACAAACATATACCCATGTGAGTGTATTTGGATAGTATGAAATGGTACCTGCAAACAGGCTCAGCTATGGCAATAAGAAAATCATAAGCTTGCTTGTAGAGAGGAGAGAAGGTCTCAAGGAATATTCGGCCATCAGCGCAAGCCCATAATGGCCGATTGTCGTGATCGGGTTTAAGTTCCAATTTGGTGAAATCTCTCTTTTTTCCTTCTCTATCACCTTAAATTAATAACAATATTTCATTCACACAATCCACCCAAATCAGATGAAAATCAAAATATAACAATCGTTTTCCCTTCTTTATCATCTTACATTAATTACAGTATTTCATCTACTCAATGCAACCAAATCAATTGAAAAAATTAATTATAATCAAAAACTTGCAAGCAAATATATATACACTTGATAGATGTATATACCATCGCGATAGTCGTCTTCAAAATCTGCAGCATAGTATGCATCTTCGTCTTCAACAGCTGAAGCTCTTTGATTCTCCTACATAAAATCGCAATGAAGATGAATAATTCAGTCAAATATTATCAGAAAAAAAAAACCAACAACAAAAAAGAAAAAGTAGGAGAACCTTGGAAGAAAATTTAGGTTTCTTGCTATGTCGGCCTTTATCACCTGAAAATCACAGGCTGCGTTCATATAAATGGCAAATTACTGTATAATTTTACCTGAATATGAACTCGTTTACATCACATAATATAAGGTGACGATTGCATAAATTAGATAGATTTCATACCGTGGCCCATTATTCCGGTATTTGGGATTTGATGACGATCAGAACGGTACAAGAAAATATGTCCTTTCGGTGCTCTGTATGAGACTTCCGAGTGTACAGATTACGGAGGAGAAAGTGGGGGCGTTGATGTATTTATCAGAGGGATGAAAACGAACCCGAGTCGGTAAAGAATGTAAAATGCTGTAATTGCCCAATGTTTTTTAAATTCACATTTTCTACCCCATTTTTTTGGATAAATACGTTGATTTGATTTTTTTAATGACACTTTGTACCCTAACTAAATATCAAAATTTTAATTTACACTCTAAAAAATTAAAATTCTAGCATTAAGCATTTCAGTACCGAGTAATACTATTTGAACTTCAAACTCTTACCAAATTTGTTGACATAATGATGTGGTTCAGTAAAATAATTGGATCAACACCAAGTTTCAATATTTGATAGGTGTTACAGTTAATCTAAATGTCATAGTGAATTAGGTCAACAAATTAAGTCAATAAATTAAATCTCAATAACATTACTTTTCAGTATCATTTCACTTACTATTTGTTTTTTGGGTATCATCTGTACCACCTTTTTAGGTGAACCTTACTATCTTTTTGGGTAGAGTTTTATAATTTTTTGAAATTTTTTTATTACCTTTTGAGTAAGGTATCAAAATTTTACTTTTTGATACCATAGTGTTTTCCTTTTATTTTATATTGTCAATCAAATAAAAATATTACATTGTGCTCCAAATAAATATTGTTGACAATCTAACAAAAAAATTATTTTATTTGTCATATTATTTGACTAGCAATAATCTCGTGCCTAAAAATATTTTGTAATACAAAAAATTAAGTAATAATCATTTAATATTTGTATATTTTAAATAATAATATTATTTTATTTTATTTACTTATTCAAGTTAAAATCAAGGTGCACAATAAGAAAATAAGAGATGTAGTGGAGAGAATAATAGAGACATGGGTGTAAATTAGTGGGTTATACAACATTGAAGAGTTTGTTAATTAAGTTGTATGATATTGGGGCGTGGCATAGAATATGATGGTTTTTAGTGATAAAATTTTGTGGAATGAATTTTGTGTCATTTGATAAAAGTAGATAAAATTTTAATCAATTTTGACTATTATTATATTTTCATAAACTAAGAATTCAACTTCTTAACTCTAATATTAAATTAATTTTTATACACAATTACTTGAATAAAACTCAATATTTTTAATGGAAAATTTAGTACTAAATACATTTTTACTACTATAGGAATCTTATATTTTAGGATGTAAATTGAGAATGAAAAGATATATCGGATGTCAAGTGTCATTTGCCCAATTTTAAAATAAAACCCCTAAAATACCCTTTCCTCCAGAACCGGTCTGACGGTGGCAGGTGGTTTGGGGTTCAGGCCACACTAGATTTTAATTGGCGAAACACACTTCAGACCGGCGTTGGCAATCGCCATTTCCACTCCGTCGATTCGGAGAGAGAGACGAAAGGAAACTACAGAGATGAGCGGACACGACTCCAAGTACTTCTCCACTAGAAAAAATGGCGAAATCCCTGAGCTCAAAGAAGCACTCAATTCTCAGTACAAGGTCCCATCTCTCCCCCGTCTCTCTACATTCATATTTGTGTACGCGTTTTGTGGCTAAAATTCACCGCATTTTACTATCTGTATAATTTGATCGGCTGCGATAATGCTTTTGATGTGACTTGTATCGTGTTTCCGATCGAGACAAGTGAAGTGATGATCAGATAGATCTATCGAATGTTTTCTTTGATTTACAATTATATGGCCGCATGCTTGCTTTCATTGAATTGCGTCTTACATCTGTTCACGCTAAAGTGAACAATGAAATGTGTTATAATTTGATTTTCTTGCACTTACTCAGCAACCAATGTAAATTGTTTAGTGTAACTTGATCGTCATTGGTATGGTGTTCATATGTGGTTTTATGGATGTTGGGGTTTATGATGGAGTTTACTATGTCTATGGTAAAAAGTTTTTCACATGGACCCTTGTACTGGTTTCAACAATTTTTTTCATGTGTAGACACAAATATTGTGGCCGTCATAAGCATGGAGATACTTAATGTTGATTTAGTGTTTGAACAGTATGTGCTTATATTTCCCTTTTCGAATGATTGCACAGATTATTGACAAATTGCAAAAGGGCAACATTTCAAAACGATGGCCTCAAGTGCATAGTTCATTAAGATTGTTATGCTCCATAGTCTTTTGTGGCTAACGATATTCATCACATCTACTCTATTCTTTTTATTTGTCATGCAGGATAAGAGAAAAGATGCTGTTAAAAAAGTGATTGCTGCCATGACTGTTGGGCAGGATGGTTCATCTCTTTTCACAGATGTTGTGAATTGCATGCAAACGGAAAACTTAGAACTCAAGAAGCTTGTCTTTTTGTATCTTATTAATTATGCTAAAAGCCAACCAGACCTTGCCATCCTTGCGGTGAATACATTTGTGAAGGTAAGAGCTATTATAAAAGTTCGGTCTCTTTCATTTCAAAATGGTATAATCTTCTAGAATATTGGCTTTAGGATACATCTATTATACCATTTTCCTTTTCTGAATTAATTTTGTGGATATTTTGCATGTTATCGTCCTTGTTCAAGCAAATTGAATGTGCGTCATTTATTCCTATCTTCCCATGACGTGATCAATCTACATATATGAGGGGTAGAAAATATTACCATCATTTGCTGGAGAGGACTACATTGGCTATCTTTCATCAATTGTTCAGGGTATCTTTATCGACAAAGTCAATGTGATCGATCTATGAGAAAGTTCCATATTCTCTGATGCAGGAGCAGCAAATAGGAAAATAAAGTTACCTGCACCCGTGTCATTAGCAATTTTATGCATTAGGAGTGTTTGGTTGTCGGTTTTATATTTGCTATTCTTGGTTATTAGAATTTTATATGCTGAAAATTTCTGCATTTGAATTTCCAATTTGGTTAGAGCTTCTAAAAAACTAGGGGCCTTTTCTTGAGCTGCAATCCAGCAGATATTGAGCTTAGATAGTTTCCATTTTGATTGTATTTGTTGAGTGAACCAAGTTTTAATATATAAGTGTGGTTGTTTGTGTTTTCTAATTTGAAACAAAGTGAAGGATAAGATGTCCTATCTGGAGAAAATCAAAAGGTCAATTACAATAAGAACTCCATCGATCCCAATTATGTTGTATCAACGATGGAGGGATATAGTTTTAGGATGTGTGGGAGAGTCGTTAGGGTTTTGTTGCATCTATTAGCAAAGATCTTTGCTGTCACATGATGACAGCAATTTTTTTTTTTTTGATCAAACAAAGTTAAAACAAATTCATTAAATAGGGAAATTGAGGTTACAATCTGCCAAGATAAAAGCCTTAAGCTCGGTAGGGGGAGCCTAACCAACTCAACGGATGCGAATTGTTCAAAGTAGTGGCTGCTACCCAATGAGCAGCCTTGATAAAGGCTCTAGGCTCGTGTAGGAAGTTAAGGTTGTATTTTTATAACCTAGCATAGTATCTAATGTCTTCAATAATAACCCTAATTTCCCACATGGAAACATTCTCATTCGAGCTTAGTTTGATGATGCTGAGGCTATCGTTCATGATTGTGGCGTTAGTCATCATTTGCACTTCAACAAGAAGGCATGCTTGTCGCACTGCCTCTGCTTCAGAGAAGGATCAAGACACTGTTGGGAAGGACTTTGCAACTCTATCCACGAGGTCTCCCCTTGAATTACGGATCACCACTCCATTTGCAGACTTTGCTAAATGTGGTTTGAAAGCTCCATCACAGCAAATAAGGATCCCAGGCTCTGCCTCCTGTGATCTTTCATCCCTGGCCACTAGTTCCCTTTGTCCCCTCGATCTCCCCACAGCTCCTACCCTGATTAGATCTTCCATATTCCACATGAAGTTTTGTTTTTTTTATAAGAATATGTAAAAAACCAACTTCAATCTTCTCATATATATTCTAGCTTTGCCTTTTATGAATCAAGAGATACCTTGTGATACCTTCTCTAACTAAGGATCTTGTCACCGGGCGATTCACTGACAAATCAAGTTCCAGAATCTGCTTCTTACCCTTGTTACAATTCTTTGAGGGACCTATTGTGAATTATAATCAAACTCATCAAAGGGAGCTTGACACCTTGGACCTCGTTAGAGAGAGCTCCAATCTCTATATTTATGATTAAAATTCGGCTTAGGGTTTTTATTAATTCTAGAGTCCTTTAAATAGGACTAGTCTCCTTACAAATATAAGAAACCTATAAGTTAGGCTCCTTATAACCTAAAACACTGAAAGACCTAATTAGGAGATAAGTCTCCAACTAAGCAACAATAACGTTAAAAACTAAATAACAAAACAAAACCTAAGCCATATAATTCCAGCTACTTATTTGCCACGCCTTCTATAAGAGCAACCCACAAATGAGTCTATAACATCACCCTCCCCCTGAAGAAAGAGCTTGTCCGCAAGCTCAAAGTCCGGGTAAGCATGCTGGAAATGTTCACGGCTATCCCAAGTGGCATCAGCAATGTCATTATCAACCCAATGCACTAGAAGTTCCCAAGTGCCTCTATTAAGACGAGCCCGCAATATTGAGGCCGGGGTGAGAATGACATGGCCATTTTTTATAGGAGGCAACTGTGGAATGGAGGGTGGAGGTCGTCCTTTGTAAGGCTTAAGAAGGGAAACATGGAAGACGTTGTGAAGCTTTGATTCAACTGGTAGTTGAAGCTTGTATGCTACGGTTCCAATGCGCTACAAAATGGAAAATGGACCATAGAATTTCTGGGACAGCTTGTGGCGGGCTGTAGTAGAGATAGAGTGTTGACGCTATGGCTGTAAGCGGAGCCAAACTAGATCCCTTGCAACATATTGCACATCTCGATGCCCTTTGTCATAGAACTCCTTTATACGACTTTGGGCCTGCTGCAATTTAGTCTCTGTCAAAACTTGATCACGAGTAAGCAAGGCTTGATTTACGGCTTCAACTCTAGAGGATCCAGGTATATAAGAAAGGAGACGAGGTGGTTCACACCCATACACAACCTTGAAAAGCGTACTCTGAAGGCCAGTATGAAATGATGTGTTATAGCAATATTCAGCCCATGGAAACCACTCAATCCTGCTTTTAGGCTTATTCCCAATGAAGCAACGGAGATACATTTCAATGGTACGATTCACAACCTCTGTTTGTCCATCCGTTTGTGGGTGGTAAGCTGAGGAAAAGGCAAGCTTTGTACCACTGAGACGGAAAAGTTTTTGCCAAAAATTGCTTGTGAAAACAATATCTCGATCACATGTAATGGTCTCTGGAATCCCATGAAGACGGACAATCTGCTCCATAAAAACATGGGCAACTTTGGTGGCAGTATACGGGTGAGCCAGAGGAATAAAGTGGGCGTATTTTGAGAATCTGTCCACAACCACAAAAAGAACTGATTTGCCCCAAACCTGTGGCAACCAATCAATAAAGTCCATGGAAACATCTGCCCAAATTTGAGTGGGAAGGGCCAAGGGTTGAAGTAACCCAGCTGGGCTTAGATTTTCTGATTTGTGGCGTTGGCAAATTGGGCAAGAGGACACATAATCAACCATGGTTGACTTCATCCCTTTCCAATAAAAATCTCCTTTGACGCGATGTAGAGTCTTCTGGATCCCCTCACGTGCACTATCATGATAACTAGACAAAACTGAAGCAATCAAAGGAGAAAAGGGCAACAAATAAATACGATTTTTATAAAGAATCAACCCTTTATGAACAGACCAACTAGGATCTTTTTCTCCCTTTAAAACCTGTAAAGATAGCTCTTGTAAGGAAGAACCAATAGTGACTTCCTCACGGACTGCATCTAGAAGCAAAAATCGAGGGTGATTGATTGCACTTAACACCTTTTCATCACTGGAGCGCCTTGATAGAGCATCAGCAGCCCGGTTTAAATAGCTAGCCCGATATTCGACGGTAAAATCAAACCCCAAAAGTTTACTAATCTAGTGTTATTGAGGAAAGGTTGTGATCCATTGCTTTAATAAAAATTTCAAGCTGTAATGATCGGTGCGGATAAGAAAGGCTCTTCCCCACAAATAAGGTCGCCAATATTGCACTGCCTTTGCCAACCCGATCAATTCTCATTCATAGGCAACAAATTTTTGGTGCCTTGCAGCCAATTGGCGACTGAAAAATACAATAGGCTGGTTGTTTTGTTGAAGTACAACCCCAATACCTCCTCCGAACGCATCACATTCAACCACAAACAGCTGATCAAAATCTGGTAACTGTAATACTAGAGCAACAACCAATGCTTGCTTCAATTTATCAAAAGAGAGCTCGGCGCTCTCATCCCAATGGAAGGAGTTTCTTCGTAACATACTAGTTAATGGTGCTGCCAACTACCCATACTCTTTAATGAATTTACGGTAATAACCGGCCAACCCCAAGAATCCGCACAAGGCTGTCACCGATTGTGGTTTTGGCCATTCTGTTACAGCTTGAATTTTTGTCGGATCCACTGTTAGACCTGTTGCAAAAATAATATGCCCAAGGTATGCAACTTGGGTCTCCCCGAAAGCACATTTAGACTTCTTCAAGTACAGATGGTGAGCACGCAATAATTCAAAAGTAACACGCAAGTGGAGCAAGTGATTTGTCCAAGAATTGTTGTAAATTAAGATATCGTCAAAGAAAATCAATATAAACTTGCGTAAGTGAGGACGAAATACCTCATTCATGAGTGCTTGAAATGTAGAAGGGGCGTTGGACAAGCCAAAGGGCATGACCAAGAACTCAAAGTGCCCATGATGTGTCCGAAAAGCTGTCTTCTCTACATCCAAGTCATGCATCCTCACTTGATGGTATCCTGATTTCAGATCCAATTTAGTGAAGTACTTGGACCCATGTAATTCATCAAGTAGCTCGTCTACCACCGTAATGGGGAATTTATCTTTAACCGTTTTAGCATTGAGCTCATGGTAGTCTACACAAAACCGGCAAGTTCCATCATGCTTCTTAACCAGTAAAACCGGCAAGGAGAAGGGAGATTTGCTTGGTCGAATAATCCCGTGTTGAAGTATCTCAATACACTGCCTTTCAATTTCGTCCTTTTGTAAATGTAGGTATCGATAAGGCCTGACTACCACCGGTCCCGATCCGGATTGTAAACAGATTTGGTGGTCACAATGGCGAAGAGGAGGTAGGCCAGATGGCTCCTGGAACAAATCAGTAAACTCGGCTAGAAGCTGCTCCAATTCCTCCCGATGAGAAGGGGGTCCATTAAGCATGTGTAGCTGCTGGCTGTGGTGGGGCTGCATTCCATGGAATATAATTCTAGTGCCCCAGAATGTGAAACTTATGGTCAGAGATACAAAGTCCCAAAGGATGGATCCTAGAGTTTGCAACCATTTGATTCCTAATACCAAATCAAAACCAGCCAGGAGAAGAACAAAAAAATCAGCAGTAAACTCATTATAATCAAGTGAAAAAGTTACCGCATTACAAATTCCCGCACTGTGGACATTTTCTCCATTTGCTACCGAGACACTTGCCCCTATTTTAGGCTGGGCATTGATTCCGAGGCGTTTTGCAGTTGTTAAACTGATGAAATTGCGTACTCCCCGAATCTACCAAACCCCATAAATTTTGATTGTGCAAGACAGTCTTCACTTGCATGGTGCGTGCCCCTTTTTGACCAATGATTGCATGCAGGGAGATCTCCGGTTCCCCATCGATAGCGGTTGTTGGTTCCATCTCATCTGAATCTGCCAATTCAAGCCAAAAAAGCCTTTTACATTGATGCCCAGTTGAGTATGTCTCATTGCAGTTGTAACAGAGACCCTTAACTCTTCTTTCCGCCATCTTTGCCCTTTCTTGATGAATGGCGTGTTCAAGGGTTTGACCTCCGTTTGCCCTTCACTAGCAGCAGTGGTAGTACTTTTGGGTGGCACAATTGCTTTAGGTAGTGCCTTGGAGGTGGCGCTAGTTTTATTGTTTAACCATGAACCCTTCTTTGACTCGGCTTCCTTTAGAATACGATGTTTGGACTCAAAGGCTCTTGCTAAATTCATCGCATGAGCCAAATTAGGTGGGGCGTGAAGCTCCATATCCAGACGAATTGAATCTGCAAGTCCCGCGGTAAACAAACTCCCATGCTGATCAACCCGAACAACCTTGTTGGCTCTTGCCAATCTTTTTTGAAATTGCCTCTGATAGTCCTCTACCGAACCGGTTTGTTTCAAGTTCACCACTTCCCCCAACGGATTGCTTCTGGCTGGCGGTTCAAACCTCAGAGAACAATAGTCCTTGAATCTAGCCCAACTGATTATGGGTTGTTCAGATTCTAACTGATGGTACCATAGATGCGCTTCGCCAAGCATGTGGAAGGCAGTCAATCCCACCTTATCCCCTTCCTGTGTGTGTTGATTGGCGAAGAACTTCTCACACCGATGCAACCAGATTAAAGGATCTTCAGATTCATCAAAAGTTGGGAAGTCCAACTTGGTGTAGCGGGGGACAACGCCGCTACCTGGTTGTGGTGTTGCACCTTGCAACTGATTTCCTGTATGACGCACTTGGGGTGGCTGCTCTTGTGGGTTGTTGCAGCTTGCAGTTCCTTCGGACTCAATTCTTATGCTTCGATTAAACCCAACCAATATCTCCTTGAATTGCGATGACAACTCCTGTAGGTGACTGCCCAATCGCCGTTCAATCTCCACTACCTATGCTTCGTTTGCGGCTTTTGCCTCTTGTAACATCAATCGCAGATCCTCTTTTGTGGATCACGAATCCTCTTTTGTGCAGAGTCGCCCATTGTGTGTGGCTCTGATACCAATTTGATACCTTCTCTAACCAAGGATCTTGTCACAGGGCGATTCACTGGCAAATCAAGTTCCAAAATCTGCTTCTTACCTTTGTTACAATTCTTTGAGCGACCTATTGTGAATTATAATCAAACTCATAAAAGGGAGCTTGACACCTTGGACCTCGTTAGATAGAGCTCCAATCTCTATATTTATGATTAAAATTCTGCTTAGGGTTTTTATTAATTCTAGAGTCCTTTAAATAGGACTAGTCTCCTTACAAATATAGGAAACCTAAATCACTGAAAGACCTAATTAGGAGATAAGTCTCCAACTAAGCAACAATAACCTTAAAAAACTAAATAACAAAACAAAACCTAAGCCATATAATTCCAGCTACTTATTTGCCACGCCTTCTATAAGAGCAACCCACAAAGGAGTCTATAACTCCTTGCTATTATTTGACGCAGGAAAGTTATGCCATCCTTATTCATTTCTTTGACTTTTAACTCTTTTTTTTTTTTTGGGGGGGGGGATTTCTGAATAACTTCTTCTATGTTTCTCTAATGGTTTGTTAAATTGTAAGCTTTTTTTCAGGATTCACAGGACCCAAATCCTTTGATTCGTGCATTGGCAGTACGGACAATGGGATGCATTGGTGTTGATAAAATCACTGAATACCTGTGTGATCCCCTTCAGAGGTGTCTCAAGGTTAATTTTTTTATATTACTCTTATGATTTGCCATTGGCACCTATTTTTATGTTTTAGCATTTCCTACATTATCTTCAGTTTTCAAAAAGAATGCAGTCTGTTCAGGTCGGGCACATTGTAATCTTTAATTTGGTTATATCATTTCTTTTACTTCATGACTTATCAGCATGATGATCCGTATGTTCACAAGACAGCAGCAATTTGTGTTGCTAAACTTTATGACATAAACGCTGGGCTTCTTGAGGGTAGAGGGTTTCTGGAAGCTCTCAAGGATTTAATATCAGACAACAATCCAATGGTTGTAGCAAATGCTGTTGCAGCTCTTGCAGAGATTCAAGAGAACAGTAGCAGACCCATATTGGAGATAGCTAGCCACACACTTTCAAAGCTGCTTACTGCTCTAAATGAATGCACCGAGTGAGTTCATGGGTCTGAAATTTGTCGTTTTCTTTGCAAATCTGGAAAATGTGTTGTAGTTTGACATTGTGGAATTTGCCTGGTGGTGCATTGTCCTTATTAGATTGGTTGTATGTGGCTAATGCTGGTTTTTATAATGTTAATGAAAAAATTTGACATGTATGTTCCATTATATGTGAAGAGAGATATTATGCTTCACTTTTGGCTTTAAATTCCTGGTCAATATTAGTCTTAGGGCGTCCTAATTTTAGTTTAATCTTTGTGCTTTGATATCCTAGATAGGAGGATGGTGATGGTTATTATACTCTCTGCTGTGTCAATTTCCCGTACCTTTTTTAGCTTGTCAATATAATCCTTGTTAATCTGTTGATGTAAATGGGACACATAGCTCATTTTCTTAAACTATTTACTTATTTTTGACTTCACATTCTTGAATGTTTGTATAATTTGCTCGAAGTTGAAGTGAACTTTGTAGGTGGCAATAATTAGATGAAGTTACGGCTCCCTTTCCTGGACTGTGCATTTGGTTATTAAATCGCAACACATGTTGAATAATAATAATACTCAAAATGTTTTTGTAGGTGATCAAATCTTTGTTGGCCATAGGTTATCAAGCTTAGATTTTGTGAAAATAGCATGCTATGCTTCTAAGAATCATGTTTGGTTTGATTTCTTTTATGGTTGTCATACATTTGTTCTGTAGAACTTCTGCTGAGTATGACCTTCTGTTTTGCTTGTTGAATGTCAATTGTGAACTATGAATTCAGGTGGGGTCAAGTTCTTCTTTTGGATGCTCTTCCAAATACAAGGCAGATGAATAGATGATGCTCGTGAAGCTGAAAATATTGTGGAGCGAGTTACTCCACGACTTCAACATGCAAATTGTGAAGTTGTTTTGTCAGTTGTTAAGGTGCATTCATTTCTTTTTAGTGACTTGATTTGTAGATACCACTCTCATTATTCACCTATCTTTTAGCCTATCGTCTAGTTCTTGATCATTTATTGTTAATTTGTTACCCATTTTTCATCTCTCCTATTTTTGGGAAGACTTCTTGACCTTTTTCTTAAAAAATTTTCCTCTTGTAGATGATCCTTCAACAAATGGAACTCGTAACCAGTACTGATGTGATTCGACATCTTTGCAAGAAAATGGCTCCTCCTCTCGTGACATTACTTTCTGCAGAACCCGAGATTCAGTATGTTGCCTTATGGAACATACCTTATTGTGCAAAGAAAGCCCACAATCCTTGCCCATGAAATCAAGGTTGTTTGATATGATTTTTTCTTGCTTCATACATTGGGGTCATGATCAAGAATATTTGTTAGTGATTCAGATTTTGCATCTTGTAATTCAAAATTGAATGAGGGCATGCTAAAAATCAATATTTGTTGGTAGGTGTTTTTCTGCAAATACAATGATCCAATTTACGTGAAGATGGAAAAGATTGAAATCATGATAAAACTTGCTTCAGACCAAAGTATAGACCAGGTAAGTAGACTTTGGTATAATTTGATCATCTTGTTTTGAGTATCTCTTTATTGCATTCTGATTGGGGTGTCTTACTCTCTGGGTTTACACTTGTAGGTGTTGTTGGAGTTCAAAGAGTATGCTACAGAAGTTGATGCAGACTTTGTTAGAAAAGCTGTTCGTGCTATTGGATGCTGTGCAATCAAGTTGGAGAGAGCAGCTGAGCGGTGCTTTAGTGTTTTACTTGAGCTGATTAAGATTAAAGTAAATTATGTCGTTCAAGAAGCTATTATTGTGATCAAAGATATTTTTAGGAGATATCCTAACACGTAAGTATATTGTGATCAAAGCTGAGCGGTGCTTTAGTGTTTTACGTAAGTATTATTGTGATCAAAGCTATTATTGTGCTTTGGACAACCTTATATTTTTTCTATAAATATCGAAGTGATTCATGTTTTTATAAATATTATTCTTAATTCTTTTGTCTGTCTTAGCCATGAGTCCATCATTGCTACGCTTTGTGAGAGCTTAGACACTTTGGATGAGCCAGAGACTAAGGTATTCAGAGACAATGGCATGGCTTTGGCTTTTTTATGATTGCCCACATTCTTTAAATTTCATATTCTCTGGTCGTGCTACTTACGTCTTTATTTATTCCACAGGCATCAATGATCTGGATAATTGGTGAATATGCTGAAAGAATTGATAATGCTGATGAGCTTCTTGAAAGCTTTTTGGAGAGTTTTCCTGAAGAACCTGCTCAAGTCCAGTTGCAGTTACTTTCCACAACAGTCAAACTTTTTCTTAAGCAGCCAACTGAAGGTCCACAGTAGATGATTCAGGCATGTTCTTGTGACTCACTGTTTTTGTTTCTGTAGTGCTCATGTTTTTAAAATCAAAGCTTTTCTGGTTCCTCAGTCCCCTTTCGTTGCATTCTCTACTTTCCATTCCATCTAGCGTTGAGTTGACCCGAGCATCGTAATCTTTTTGAAAGATCTGGTCTAGAACTATCATTTTGAGGAATGCCAGGTTGTGGTTGTTCTGCAGAGGGTCTTTACTGGTCAAATCATAACTGCGTTTCTTAGTTAAGAAATATTTGAGATAGTGAATATTGATCTGTGGCATTACCAACTGCATATTGTTACTGTTCTGCGTGATTTAATACTATTCTCTTGGGATGGCATTGATAATATCCTGTTGGAATATCACACATTTTCAAAGATGTGGATACACACGTAATCTGTAATTATCCCGATGTGGATACACACGTAATCTGTAATTATCCCGATGTGGATACACACCTACTCTGTAATTAAATCCCGATGGGTAGATTCTGCATGCCTGCTTTCTTGAGAAAGTGAACCCTTAATGGAATATATCCGAAGTCTATGATCACAACTTGATGGGGCACCTGTCACCATGATATGTTGAAATAAGATGTTGCACATATGCTGTATGTAGTGAGTAGTGACAATCACAGTCTATTCTGCTAAATATATTCTCTTTTAAGTTTTCATAGGGATTTTCAAGTGCTTCCCTTGATTTTGATAGCTGTATTGTTGCCCCAAACTTCAAGTGGGTCTGTGATAGAGATCGAAAAGGGATTGGATGAGCTTAAATTGAAGAATTGAATTTTATTATTTGTTTTACTATTTTTATATTATTTAGGGAATATTTGTTTGAGTAGGAGTGTTAGTTAGAGTTTGATTAGAGAATTATTATAGAGTTTTAGTAGAATAGGGATTTAAGAGTTTGATTATGAAACTCTTTTAGAATTTTAGTAGGAGAATAGTTTTTGTTTTGGTAGGGAACTTAGCCAATAATTCTAACTATTTTTATTAGAGAGTGATATAATAAAAAATGATTCTCCGTGAAGAATTTGTGTGTTTCTTCGCTGATTCCTTGCAAGGATGCGATAAACACCTACCACACCCTCTTCTTTCTTCTTCTCTTTGTATTCTGTGATTTCTAGCCCTTCCCGTCCTATATCGGTCTGTCTTTTAAAATGCCAAACCGCGTTATTTTTAATTTTTTAAGTTGATTCTCTCCCTATATCGTCATCTGTATAGTCTGTGTTGAACAATGCCACTGTGGAGATGGACAATCCTGATTTGCGAGAATGTGCATGCATATATTGGCGTCTTCTTTCAACTGATCCTGAGGTGTGTATTAGCTGAAGTATTGAGATTTCTGTTTCTATTGCTTTGATACTCCATATGGTTGCCATCTTTTCCTTTGACATTAAAGTACTTACTGAGGTGTGCCAGCTAAGGTGTTATTGCAGTCCTTGGACCTATGTCATACTAGGCAAACATTGTAGATCCATCGTCGCAAAGAAATGATTAAAACTTGTATCAATTTTTTTTTTTGTTGTGGAAGGCATAGAGTCACTAAATCCTATTTCACTTTTCCTTATTTCAAGAGATTTTTTCTAAGACAAAGCCACTTTTATCGGTGGAGAAAAGAGGATTGTGTTAGTTGTTTACGCAGCTTATATCCTTAGGTTATTATGGACTCCTGGATTATTGGTTGTCCAAGTATGATGGCTTGCCTACTCTCTCTCAGGCAGCTAAGGATGTTGTGTTAGCTGAGAAGCCTGTAATCAGTGATGATTCGAACAAACTTGATCCTTCTCTCCTTGATGAGCTTCTTGCCAACATTGCTACTTTGTCCTCAGTCTATCACAAACCTCCAGAGGCATTTGTAACACGTGTGAAGACAGCCCAGACAAGTGAAGAAATAGAATATCCTGATGGAAGTGAAACAGGGTATTCTGATACACCTGCTGAGAGTGGTGCATCATCACCAGCTACTTCATGTAATTCCTACTATGCTGCAGCCAGGCACCCGGCTGCACCTGTGCCCGATTAGCTTGATCTAGGCCTGGATAGTAATAGCAATAGTAATAGTGTTCTTGTTACTGTTGATCAATCTGCAGCCCCTGCTGGGTATGTATAATGGAAGCCACCTTACTGATATTAGAGATTGTTGAGATGCGTAAAAATTTGGCTACTGAAATTGACTGAAAATTTGTTGTGAGTTGTCTAAAATTGTTTGGGAGTTTTCCAATTCTTGATATTGGCAGAAAAAAATAGTATGATTGGCACTAAGAGTTCTGAATTTGATTGCAGCCCTCCTCTGCCTATTTTGTTAACAGCATCAACTGGTCAAGGTTTACAAATCAGTGCACAGCTGATACGAAGAGATGGTCAAATATTTTACAGCATGTTGTTTGAGAACAACTCACAGAGTCCCCTCGATGGATTTATGATTCAATTCAACAAGAATACATTTGGTCTTGCAGCTCTTGCTGCTGCTGGATCGCTCCAGGTAGGTTTTTTATTTAGTGTCAATAATTGAGCTCGGTTGATTTTGTTGTTAAACAGGTCCCACAATTGCGACCTGGGGCATCTGCAAGTACTCTCCTACCTATGGTTTTGTTCCAAAATATTTCCCCTGGTCCCCCAAGCACACTTCTACAGGTTGCCTTAAAAAATAATGAACAGCCTGTGGTACTTCAATGATAAAATCTCATTGGTGGTATTCTTTACCGACAATGGCAAAATGGAGCGTTCTACCTTGCTTAAGGTAAAGAAAATTTATTTTCTTTTATTTTCCTGTACTCACAATGTGTCCAAGTTGCTGTTCTCATCGATTATGCTCTACTGCCTTACTATTTCCCCTTGACTGTATACCATCGGGACAAGTTGGCAATGCATGATGAGGAAAATGTTTAGGACAATTAATATACGACTCTGAATTTCATAAATTTCATAGTCGTATAGCTAATGATAAGGTTATTTCATTATTATTTGGGTATCACAATTCGAGTCATAATAGATTCAGTCTTTTTGCGCACGGAAAAGGCTGCGGACATTTGTCCTGCATTGACAGAAGCTTCCATGCACTGGGCTCCTTTTTTGGTGGGGGCTGTCGGTATTTCTGTATAATTTTTCGGCCACCAAGGTGCCGGTTGATTATAGTTTATGTTATGTGGCTGAAGACAAAGAGGGATAGGACAAGGGGTGCGGGGTTGAAATTTGAAGTTGAAGTAATAACAGGGTATAATGGTTTGGTGTGGACTCGAATATTTCTGACCGTTGAACTAAAAAAAAAATATCTCGTGTCAAAAAATAATTTTTTGATAGCATGACAAAATGGTTTTTAAATATTTTTTTTGATTTAATTTATTTGTAGTTCTTAATTATAAATTTAAATAATAAAATAAAATGTTTTATGCGGTACTGTCCAAAGCAAAGATATGGTTTTATCAAAAAAAAGATATGGTCATTAATATAAAAATTCTCGGCAACAAGGAATAAAAAAAGTTTAAAAATTATCTGATAAATAAAAAAGTTGAATTCAGGCTATCTAATATAAATAAGGATAAATTATATATGATCCTTTAAACTATCTAATATTATAATTTTACATTGTTTGAATTCTTTCTTTGTATTAATCATAAATGTTTGTTTTTTTTTTAGATGAAAATTGTTAACATGCTGAAACAAAGAAAAAATTATATAGTTTACCGGATAAAATAAAATAATTTTGTTAAATTTTTAACGAACATTAATAATTGAGATGATATAAAATTAATTAAATAATTAAATATATAATATAAAAATAAAATAATTGAAAAGTCGATGTGAAAATAATTTATAGGAAGAAAACCATAACTACGAGAATTTATAGTAGGGCCATGCCACAAGAATAAATTAATAGAGAAAGCCACGAAATACTAGGGAAAGTAAAAGCAGAGCATGTGCAGCGTGGACCCCACACTTTGAATCCTAAAATCTCGAAAGCGGGCTTTTCTTTCGCTTTCGTGCGCTCCAGCTGCCTCGGAGATAGAGCGGACTCCAAATCAAATTTCAAATTTATGCAATACACCCAATCTATACATACACAACATACATATATATTCCACACAGTAAAAAGTACAAACAGAGAGAGAGGATGGGGTACAAGTGTCAATCTTGCCAGGATAAGATCCTACGAGCTGGTGGCCCTGATCAAAGTTAGAGCTCGACGGCTCGTCATCGGCTTGGCTTGGGTGAAACATTCTGATGGACTAAAATGCCCTTACAAAGATAACGTTGTCGCGGGTAAGGGTGGAAAGTGATTTTTATGTAGGTAGAGAGAATCCTGACCGTTGAATAAAATCCTGTTGTCGGAGAGTTGCTAGACACGAGACAGGAGGGGAGGATGTTGAATTTGTGGGGTCCACCGAAGATATTAGGTGGACTGAAAGCACTGTATCTGCAGCAGTGGACAGTGTAACGTGTGGGGCTCGTTTGCCCGTATTGTTTGTTTGTTTGTTAGGCTCTTGCAAATCATTGGTTTTTTTTTTTGTTTTTTTTTTATGATTATTCCTCACCATTTATAGCCCAGTAGCATCATGTCATCATTAACTGGTGGGTAAGCTTTAACCATGCAAATTTATGTTTTAAATGTAAAATATTGAAACTATTTAACTCTGACGGGCACAGTCTAACTAGAATGAAGAATGAATTATAAATTCAGATTTTTTGAATACAAAACTTATTATTTTTTTAGATTAAGTCATAAGAAATTTATCATTCATTAATTTTTTAGTTTCGACATAAATGATTGATTTTTAATTGAATCAGAGAGAAGAGTAGTCAAGGTGGTATAAATTAGTTCGAACATTTCTTAATCGTAATAAAACATAAATAAAACTATTTACATTCTTGCTTTGAGGTCAAAAAAAAAAATGACGGTCATAAATGCTGAATCGTGTGATTCATGTTTTTTATTTTTCATATTTTTCTAAGAAAAAAATTAAAGAGAATATAACATTTTTTTTCAATTGAATCATATTAAGAGTAACAATAGAATCACGTTGTATTATGGTTGGATTGTGCCATATTTAAGCCATATTATTTTACATTAATGTGTCGTGACAACGTTAATAAAAAAAATTTTACTTCCAAAATTTTTTTACAATCCCGTATGCAAATCAAGAAAAAAAAATATATAATACAATTTTTTAGAAAAAAAAATACAATCAAGAAAAAATATATATAAATAAGTACAATTTTTTATCCATACCAATTAAATTTTTGTTATTCATATCTAATATAAATTAACCTATTTAGTGTTCGTCTTTATAATCATATTGCTTTTAGATTTAGGCCATCTCATAATTGTGTCAATCAATTACTATTTATAAAGGAAGAGGAGAGTTTGGTATTTGCTTTACATGAAACATCCATATTGTTCCAATTTTTTTCCCCTCTTAAACATTTATATGGTCTATAATCAAGTTTTTAGGTTGCAGTATCAGTTATCAATTCTGAGAGTTTTCAGACTCATTGGTCATGGCGTTTCGTTGCAGTATCAAATGATGCGATCTAAAAAAGAATGCTAAACATGAGAGATTTTGGTTATATTATCGCGTCACAAAATTATATTGGTCGATTCGATGACGGTAACTCGATGACTCGAATTCAACTCGACCAGCTGGATCGTGTCATATGAGACTTGGAATTTATACATATATCATATAATAGTGATGGACTTTTCTGAAATACCCTATGATGAAGACACGTGTCCTCGGTGTTACTAAAACACTGTTGCTAAGATCAAACACCATCGGCGCACAAAGGTCCTCACCCCCGAGGTACTCGTTATATAGGATTATGCATTTAGTATGTTTTATAACCGACACGTGGCCTCGGTCTGATATGGTACCTCGATCGGTATCCCTCTCTCAGTTCCGAGATCAGCCTCTCCTCGGTGCCGAGGTGTATCATCCTAGACGCCTCCTCTACTCCAGGATAAGCTATTAACGTACAGGTTATTAGCCTAGGCTAATCATCATGACCTCGTCTTACATGATTAGTGTCAGAACGTACTGGAATGCAGGGGCCACAGCCAATGAGGGACGGACGCGTGGCATATGATATCACATCGAAGACAGAGAAACCGCATGCCGTTGCTGACACGCAACTTGGGAAAGCAAACTATTAAATACACCATTCACTTGATGAGACCGCATTCAATGCGGTAAGGCTCGGAAATGAAAGGCAATAAATGCTCCTAATACAGAGCATTTATTGCATCCTCCCCGAGAGGAGTACATTGTACCGTCGGTATCCCGAAGACCCAGCATTAACTGCTCGGGACCCCGAGCAGTTAAGAAGAGAAGACATTCCTCATCAGAATCAGTGCACACACTGCCTGTACCTAATGATCATCTACTGACTACACTGACAGCAATCATGAGCTTTTGAGGTATAAATACTCCTTGCAAAAGGTGAGACGGGTATGCAACAAAAAACTTTTTACTACAATACACACTCAGTGTTTTCTCCTTTCTCTCTCTCTCTCAAAGACTGGCTAGATCGTCGGAGGGGATACGCCGGAAAACACTCCGGCGCCCTTCTAACTTGTTCTTCTTTGTTCCAGGAACCTCTTTCAGCCTTACTGGATCGTTCTTCCGTTCCCAGAGTCTCCCATTGCCGTTCCAAGTTACCACCGGACCTCGCAGACTGTTCCAAGCAACGTGTTTGGTCACTCAACCAGTTCACTCGAGTTCACCAAGGGAGAGATCTGTTCTCGTTTTTTATATTGTGGAGGATCTTGCACGCACAAATAGTATTATCTCAATAGGTGTCTAATTGAATACAATTTATCCGATTTTGTATCGGTATCGACCGATATTTTAAATTATGTGTATAATAAGTTTTTCTCTCGAGTATCTTTTTTCTCTCAGATCTCTCTCCTGTTGCTTTACTTTTCTTAATCATCTAATATGAATAATCACTAATATTACACAGCTAGTACAAGTTTCATTGGGTGTTTTAAATTAACACATCTAAATCAGAATTAATATTTTTCATACCCTATAAGAGTCGTTCCCCTTTGTTCTTCGTGGGATATTTTTTAAATCCACTCAAATTGCAGGGCCAATATCTAAACTTGATGAAATAATTGCCATAAGATTACGCTCCGATAGGAAGGACGATAAATAGGAGGAATGAAAAATACGAAAGATACATTTTCTGTCCTTCAAAAAAAGAAAGTATGAATTGTACACTTTTTTTTCTTTGTGTTTGATAGGATAGATAAAAAATAAAAATGATTAAATTTTTTTTTATGTTTGCTAAGATTAGGAGTGACAATCGAGTAGTGTCATGTCAGGTTCGTATTGAGTTATTGCGGATTCGTGTCGAATATTATTGAAATTTAACTCAACTCATTTAATTAATTGTGTCAAGTCAAGGTGACCTGTTTATTTTTATACTGTATTCGTGTTCGTATTCGTATTCGTGTTGACACACATAAATTTTGAATAAAAAATTTAATGCTAATATTATATTTTCATTTAATTGAATTCATGTTCATATTTTTTCTACAAACTAAAAATTAACTTAAATATCTATAATAATAATAAGCAAAAATATATATTTTTATATAATAATTATGTCAGTGCTTAATAAATAGTTATAAATAATTAACATTTTATGTTTATAATACTACTTAAACATGTTAACTTCGTATTACTGTATAAACGAGAAAATGGAGATAATGTTTATTCTTAAATAAAAGAGTTCATGGTTTTAATTTTAGGTTTAACGGGTTGAATTAAATATGAGGCGTTTATATTTTTCGTATTCTCGTGTTTTGTTATTTTTGAATTCGTGTTGAGTTATAATCAAGTTTGTGTCGAGTACAAGTCAAAAATTTCCACCTCTAGATAAAATGGAAAAAATATTTTTTATTTAATGTTTTTTTTTAAAAATTTCTTTAAAAAATAATATAAATATTTATTTTACCATTGTATTTATATATGAAATTAATGTATACATAATATATGTATATATAAAAGGATATACAGACAAATAAAATACATTTCAATACAAATAATTAACTTTTCTTTCGAATTCGGAGGAATTGAATTTTTTGAGTTGAAATGAAAGTTTATTCATCAACTTTTTCATTTTTTTTATTTTTTTTTATCAAACATGATATTTTATTTATTTCCCTAACTTTTTATCTTTTTAATTTTTAATTTTTTTTATCATACCAAACGATAAAAAAAAAAAAAAGAGAAACCTTTAGGTGAAATTGTAACTAGTACGTGCAATGGGATTTTGGATATGGATTCGGTAGTTGAAACGGTACATTTGATCCAAACAGCTGTCTCCTCTATCAGAATGGACAAAAAATTGAAGCCACCCTTTAGCCGAGCAAGCCAAGTCACCCAAACAGCTCATTCAGCCATTCTTGACCGACACAGGCTGCTATATCAGGTAAAAACCCGTAAACCCGGATAAACAAAAGGCGACCAGCAGGTCGTTTCCCATTCCAATGGCAGTTGGTGAGCATTAATAAGTGTATGCTCTCTCTCTTTCTCTTACAGAGTTACACTCACTCGTAGAAGAATCACTCTTATAGTTCGTGCATTTGCTCTCAAATCCTTCGCATTTAGCTTAAATCTGTCACCAAAATTCAAAATTTTAGCCCTAAAAACCCTCTTAGTCTCTCGCATTTCGTGATTTTTCTGCTGATTCGGTACATCCAGTATCGGTTCCGAGGTGTATTACACAGGTTTGTGATCTATTACACATATTATTTGGAAGCTAATTACATCTTCAGAAACGTGTTTATGAAGCTTATTTGATGTAATTTCTTTGTGCTTATTAACTTTTTAGATAACTGAGTTTACAATGTGTGTTAAATATGTTGTAATTGTATGTTTTACATTTTCCTTCCTTTTACTGGAAAAGAGTTGATGTATTGCAATCGGAAATTGAGGCTAATTCCTGAGAAAGACTCTAGGAAGGAGAAAGGATTGGTTGACATGTGTGTGTGTGCCTTTGTGTGTATGTGTGTGAGAATTTAATAGAATGGAGCTTTTGGTATTTTCAGAATCCTCAGTGAAGAAATTGAATGTCAAATGATCTGTAATTGCATAGCTATCTTTCATTTATTGTCATTGAGCTCAGTCCGTGAATGCGGAGATTCTGTGACTTTCGTGGCTTATTGCATTCAATTTCCCTTGAAAATTTCGTGTCAGGGCTCAGGAATATTGAATCTGTCTCTCTCTCTCACACAGACACACACACTCTCACATAACACTCACGGAACTTTAAATTGGTAACTTAAAGGATCTGAATCTCTTTGTGACATACCCACGGGCTCTTCTATTTCAGGATTTCCATTGGAGCTTGGGCGTAGCTTCTTGCCGTACAGAATCTGAAACTTTGTTGTTCTTCACTGCAAATCACTGAAGAGGAGTTAGATCAAGTAATTGGAGTGATATACGGTTACAATATCAACACCTTCGAGCTGAATTTGATGATTTTTTTGTCAAGCAATACAATCACTATCAGGTTTCACAAAAGTTGAGGTTTGGGGTACTTGATAGTGATAGGTAAATTTGCTGTGGTGATTTTGTTAATTGGGTTTTCATAATTTTGGCTTCCAGCTCGGAATTGGAACAGAGAGACATCGTGGAAGATTTTGTAATATCTAGATGTTGGGTATTGGGTAGCAGCCAAAAGTTTTCTGTCTTGGTGGGTTAATTGGATTTGTTTAAGTTCTACTTATTTCTCAAATCATTTGGAAGAAAAGTCTGCAGTGGCAAAATGCTAGAGCCTGACCTGTGTTCCTCTCGGGTCTTATTGCCTTTTCGTGATGAAAGTGGTGATGAAGATCTCTCTGTTCTTCCTAGGCACACCAAAGTTATAGTGACAGGAAATAACAGAACGAAGTCTGTTTTGGTGGGTCTGCAAGGCGTTGTCAAGAAAGCTGTTGGACTTGGTGGTTGGCATTGGCTGGTATTTGTAGCTTTTACCCACATAGTCCATTCTAATCTTACCACTCTCTTGCTATCTTTTTAATTTAGCTGTTTCTTATGTTCAATCCTAGTTAGTCACTAGGCATTCTGCTTTGTTTTTTAAGGCTTATCTTTTGTAACATGATTCTTTGCTGTCGAATTAGTAGAATGGGAAGGAAACAAATGCAATAATCAGGTGGACAAATGCATAATTTTTTTTATGTTATAATGACCATCAAATTAGGTTCCCATGCCAATCAATTAATGGAATACTTTTCCTGCATTCAAAAGAAAAGATTCGTTTTCCAAAACTCACTGCCATGTGTAATTTATCAGGTGCACGAGTTCATTCTTATTACAGATTTTATTGTACTTAATAATGCCCATCAAATCAAAATCACTTGTAATAACTTGGGGGATATTATGGTATAATTAGAAGATATGATTTTCTTATTTATTGACGTCAAAATTGGATTTTTTCCTCATATAGTTCGAATTGTGAATTGTACTTACTCTGTTTTCCAGTGTGTAAGGCATTGTATATTGACCATCATTATGATTTTATTTTTTTTTGTGAAAATTAAATTATTATCAACCAGCTCCACCCTTATTTTTATACATGGAACCAGAGCAACAGGTCAGACTTTTTCCCCTGGTGAAAATTATTGCAGAATGTTCGCTCCCATTCACACTTTGGTGTAATTCTAGTAACATATAGGAAAGAATGAAGACTAAAAATATTTGTTTGTTTCTGCTGGAGATTTCCAGGGAACGAAAGGAGCTGAAGGATTTTCTTAGTCTCTTTAATTCTGTCGGTTTAGCTCTTTCCATGACAATTAACTTTAGGAAGCAAACTAGCTAACTGTTTTAAGATCCAAATTGAAGTTTCCATATCGGATTTGGATCGATTCCAATCCAAAATCTGACCATTGAAGTTATACTCACCATTTTTTCGCAAAAATGCAGTTTTGATAATTGTCATTTGATTGTTCTCTCCAACCTTATGGTTGCCCCTGACTTTTATATTTGGGTTGAAATTTTGTCTTTTTTCCAATTGTGTTACCTTCGTTGCTAAATCAAGATACGTTTGCATATGCAACCTAAAAGGTCTTAAAGAATGGGGATGAAGTGAAGCTGCAAAGGAATGCTTTGAGTGTGCTGGAACCTCCAACTGGGAATGAAGATGACGAAGATTACGATTTTGATATCTCTAGCAGTGGCTCTGACATTTGTGAAAAGGACAACGATTACAGTAAGTTCTGCTATTTCCTACCTCTTGAAATTCCAACTTAGCTTCTGAACACCACTTTAGGCTAACTATTTTGGGAAACTGTGCTCTTTTAAGATTGCAATTTTGTTTTTGTTTTTTTTGTTTGTTTGACCAGCCACTGGCTTTGAGTTCAGCAAACTGAGCAAGGCTAGAGTTCGGTATACAAAGCCATGGTTTCCGTCTGCATCAGCAAAGCCCATGAATCGCATCAATTGCAAAGAAGTTCAGTCTAGCTTTCGCAAACCTCAACTGGTAAACACAATGTGTAATTTTATGTAGCTTATGCAGAGGGTGTATTCTGGTACAAACTATTGTATATGATTACATGTACTGTAGTTCAATCTAGTGTCCACACAACTCTCACTTGGTGGCCCCCATGTTGGAGCTTTACCCTGTTCTTGGATCTAATTGAGATCTTGTTTAGTTTAGATAGTCTGAATGAAATATGTGACAAATTTGTGAAACATAATGGACAAGAAAACAGAAATGGGTTTATTCATGTTCCACAGGATAGTACTTGAAATTACTTTTAGGGAAGAGGAAAATGGTTCTTTCTTTATCCTTCTCAAATATTAATAAAGGAATTTTGGAAATTGAAGAAAGATCATTTTTAAGTTTAGATGGCCCGGCCTGACTGTAAGGTAGGGAAGGCATCTTTATTCTTCTTATCCTGCTTGGAATAATGGATGTCTTTAACTCATCTCATATTATGTTATTTAGTATTAACACGGGCTTGGGAGCTCAAGATTGTGGGAGATTTTATTTAGCAAGTCTCATTAAGGGTTTTGTGGAGATCTCTATACACATTATTTACTATTTTTAATTTACAACTGCTATGTGCTTACTCATTTGCTAATTGTTTGTGTGGATGATTAGAGAGTGAACTTGGCAAAACTAGGGACAAGCACATTGTGGAGATATTGGAGAAGCTTTAACCTCGTGGGTTTCACTAGCATTTGTCAATTATGCCTTTTTATTTCTCTTCTGATTTCTTGGACGACTTTTACTTGACTAATTTCAATCTTCTTATTCAGGGAACCATTTGTCCTCATCCTACGAAGGAACAAATGGTTAATGCTGTTGAGCATCATTTCACTTCACTGGTCTCTCTCTCTCTCTCTCTCTCTCTCTCTCTCTCAAACATACACACACACAAGTGCACGCATCCACACACATACACACTCAGATTCTTTGAGAAATGCTAATGCTTTGCATCATCTTTATCTTGATACAACAGCAACTGGACGAGGTACAAGTGGTCGTGGAATTCATCCGTGCAGCCAAGAGACTTAAATCAGTTCCTTCACATTGAGAGTGATAAGAGAAAATTGGATGGTGGCGTTTGTATAATACATAATTTACGTATATGAACCCTAACCCTTTAGTTTAGCTCTAATTATAGGCTGCTAATGGAGATTGGGACCTGGTTTTTCAGCCATATCCCAAATCTCCCGGATCCTAACTTTGTCATATGAGGCAATGACCCAGTTTATATTATGACCCTAGTTTGATATCTTGTACATGTCCATTGTTATCATAACGTTGCAAGCTACTCAATTTGATCCGTTCAGTCACAATTTGGACTGGACAATGCTACCGGGATTGTTGAGGCCCCCTGAAGGCATGGGACTCGGTTGTGGGCGTCTGTGACCAATAATTCCTGATTCTTTTGCCTTTTCTACATTTTTGAAATGTCCGGGTGTTATGTCTGCTGTCTGAAATTCTGGAATTCAATTTCACGTAGATATTCCATAATCAGTTGTATCATGAACATTGTTCATGTTGGTGATGTTCGTGGTGACTGGCAATGTGGAGTAGGTATATATTTGTATGCCAACATGTGAAGGCCATGCCATGACTTGGTGTGACAGAGTTGTAGATATTTCTTGGTTTATATTAATTTTTAATTAGTCATGAGGTATTTATAATCAATTATAGCATTTCACGTATAATTTGATCTCAAAAAATAATTATTTTTGGTATAGTACTGAGAAATAATTTAGTACCGTAAAATTACCCTAACTACGAAATTCAAAATATCAGAACTAAAACTCCCAAAATGAACTAATACCAACATTATCTATTTAATAATCACGGCGTGGTTGATTTGAATAATCTATAATTGTATAGCAATTTGGGTGCAATAGCAAAAATAAATTAGATTCAATATTTAACCAATAATTTTTAAATTGTTTATTGTGTTAAAGTTCATATTAATTAATAGTAAATCCCAATTTAATGTTTTTTGGGAGACATGTTCTTAAAATTTTAATTTGAGTTACGATGGTAAACTTAGAGCTTCAGGGAATAATTGGTGTAACAAAAAAATTTAATTTGACATTTTGGTATGCGTAATTTTATTTAAATTTAAAAATTTGACATCAGTGAAATTATTTGGTAAATATTAAATTTTAATGTTTGATGGAATTTATAATAAATTTAAAAATTACAATAACTTAGGTTAATAAATTATGTTAATAAATTAAGTGTTAGGTTAAAAAAAAAAAAAAAAGGTCCAAAAACTCCACCATAGCCATCGGTGGAATCAGGAAGCCACGTACACAATTCTTACCCCCACTAACACGTACAACTTTTCCAATTCCAATTCTCACTTAATTTAAATTAGAGAGAATTATATTTTATACTTTAAAGATTAATTATTTAGCGTGCTTAATATATTAAAAATATTATAATATAACTCTTTTATTTATTTTTGTTGCTTATTTTATTGTTGTTAATTGGGTAATTTTTCACTGAATAATAAGTGAAAACTAATCGAAAGAGTATATTATAATAATTTTAATATATTATAGATAATATGTACGAAATTTATTTTAAAAGTGTAAAGTAAGAATTTTTAAATTTTGTAAGGTACAGAGTGAGATTCACCCCCCAAATTATTTTAATAATATTTAAAGTCCCAACTTTTCAATGAAAGGCTTTTCTCTCTCACACAGGAAACACACACTGAGAAGAGCGGAAAAGGGTCTGGTGTCTGTCTCTCTTTATCAACTGAAAACCGCACAGACCTCTCCACCGAGTATCTCTCTACAATTCAATCAAGAGGTATGTATACATGTATCTCTGTGTGTGTATATGTATTTTCTGGTTTCGAATCTGTAATGAATTCTCGTTATCGTGTTTGTATCGTTGTTTTGAACTATGTTTTCTGTATATATCGACCTGGTTTTGATTAATTTAGGATTGTTATCTTGAGTTTATAGCTGATACACTTTTGGAATTTACTTGTATGCTTTTGAGGTTTCTTGTTGTGGATTGATTGGTGTTAGGGCTTTTTGAGTACTCTGTTTTTGATATTATTAGTTTAGACTTTCATGAGCTTGATTTTTTGGAGTGTTTTTTGAATTTGGAATTTGTGCCTATTTTTTTTTCTGGTAACAGTACTTTATTTAAGAGTTTCTGAAGTTGTAGATGGAGTTTTGATGTTGTTTGAAAATTTAAGCGGTGGTAATTTGTTTACGTTGATGTTTTTGCCTGAGTTCGTTTGGAGTGATTCATTTAGATTGGCAAACACTACAAATCAGGAATGTTATTTGTATATTTTTATTTAGAGCTGGTTTGTTTAATAATTCTAGTTATGTAGATTGATGATATGACTTGTTCTGGTGAATTGGTTATGCATTATATTTCCGGTAAGAGTACCCCATTGAAGAGAGAACTTGTATGGCATTTTTATTGATGGTTATTGTTACCATTAGTGTTATAAATGAACTTTGATGTTACGAAGGAATATGCTTTATTGTTTCAGCTTGTTTTCATGTCAAAATGTATATTAGATTGATTATTGTTATTACTTAGAGATTTTAATACACAATTCCTATTCAGAGTGGGTTTGGTTGAAATTGTGTATTGTGAACTGCCTTCAAGCTAGGAGTTATCAAGCTGAGGTTGCATTTTCCAGGGGAGCACAAGTTTCTGGTTCAGTGTCTTGAATGGGCTTATGAGAAGTGCACTTGCACAATGTTGTATTAGACTACTATCACTTTGTTATTTATAAGTTATAGCAAATTGAACAGAATTGCTTTTACCTTTTTTTAAAATATTGGTAGTTCTGCAGCTCCTTTGATTATTTAAGAATCATTGATATAAATAATCAGATGCCTGTATTGGCTAATTTTTTTCCTCTCTGTCTTACTGAAATTCAATACTATTTGACTTTTGACAATTAACTCAACTAATCAGTGAATTCATCAATTATTATGTGTAGGGACTTAATGTTTCTTGGTGTGCCAAACCATTACAATCGTAATTGTTTTCTTCTAACTATTCAAGCTGGCCTTAATGCTACGTAATGATTTGGCACATTTGCAGTTAAGAGCTCTTGTTAATTCGAACCTCGAACTTGAGCACTATAAACATAACTCCACGGTTTAGGTTTCACTCTGATCAATTTATAAATTTTCCAATAAACTTTAGTGAGCATCTGTACTAGTCTTAATATTCAAGTTTTGAGTGGGTAGAGAGGGGTTGGGGCATTCCCCCTCCCCCCTCCCCCAAAAAAAAAACACAGAGAGGGAGATCCAAAGCTGTGATGGAAAAGTTTTTTCTAGACGAAACCAAGGTCAACTCTGTTTCTTCAAGTTTGCCAAAAAAGGTCTCAAAACATGTGTGATTTTGATCGTGTTTCCAAAGCATCTAAGTTAGCAATTGTTAGGTGTCTGGCATCCCGGCCCAAGGGGAATGATTAGATGCAAGAGAAAAACATTTTATGGAACGGACTTTCCAAGGGGAGTTCTACTGTTGTACCCTAAGATTACTTCAGAACAATAAGGGTGCAGCAAATGTGCAACTCCTTTTTGTATAACAGTATCCTGGTATACCATTACAGAGTTTGGTGCTTTATGATAGCAAAATATTCCTTTGATTAGTTTTGTGAAACTTTGTCCAAAATATGTGAGATTTTGTGGATATGTTGTTAGCTAAACAAAAGATTTGTCACGATCTATAAAGCTATTTATGGAAAGTGGCCAATTTCATTTCCGGCTGAGTTCTTCACGTTTGTTCTGGGATATTTGTGGTTAAATTTTTTTCTTTTGGTTATTTCCCTTGTTCTTCTGCAAACTGTGCTAATTTAGGTGATGAATGACCATAACAATGTATGTAGTGTGATGTTTGTTATTTAACCATTGTTTGGTGCTTAAACACTAACATGTTGGCTTCATGGTAGATTTCTTTGCCACCCGATGATTCTGGCATTCTTATTGTTTCTGCATTCTTCTGTGGTGTTTGTATCTTAGATACCATTCTCTTGCCATGCATTGATGATTTTCTGAATTGATCCTACTGGCCATTCTCACTAGATTCATTTAGGATTCCAGTTTGAAATTCGTCTTTCTCCTGTGAGAATGTACTTCTCTTGTGCAGAGAAAAGGGAACCATGAATCAAGTGCCGATAGCTTCAGGTGGATAACTAAGATAACTTAGTAGAAATGGGAGGCTGCTGCTGTTGCTGTGCCTCTAGAGGAGTGGAACTGAACAGTTCCCCGCCATTCTATCGTGTCAGTAATCTCTCCCCTCCCGCCCCCCGGGGGCACTTAAGATGCTTTTCTGCGTCAATTTTATAGTAACTCTCAAGCTTGCATAAAAAACATGGTCTATGTTCACGGTTCTTTCTCAAACAGTCCCATTGTTATTCTGATGCTATTTAGAACTCTGTTGTCTTGGATTCATTGTTGGTAGGAGCAGTTTTACATATGCCATTGGTTTTGTTACCAGAGTATATCTGTCAATTGTTTACTTAATGGAAAGACAGGTCAGTGAAAGAACACAATGGATTCTATCCTCTTATTCATTCGGTAGGTGCATTTCTCATGCATCGCTGTTCCAAAGATTAGGCAACAATCTGTTGTAAGTTTCCTGCTTTGCGACTTGTTTTAAGAGAAGTTGCTATTTGGACTGCGTGGGGGATATTGTTGCAGACCTTTGCCCACTTTTTAGGTGTTCCAAGCAGCCAACCACTCTATGATGAGATGATTAACAAATACCAACACTTGAAAGATTGACATTCTTGCTGAACATTTGTGTCATTTGTGGTCATTATCCTTGATTTGGATATGCACGTAATTGTATTTACTTACCACATACATGCATAATTGTATGGTAAGTAATCACTGACAATCATTTTGATTTTTTCCCGGTTTATCAAAATTATCTCATTAGAGTCTTCTTCTTCTCTCTCTCTCTCTTTTGTGCTACTTCCCACTTTGCTCTGCAGTATCCAGTAGTGTCAGAGGAGCGTGAGCCCTTGTCGTCTCACAGTGGCACAGTCTCTGCACTGTCTACGGGGCTCTTAGTTGATACAAATCTAGAAACTTCAAGTCCGGATACTTATAGACGGCCTCCAACACCCATACCATATGAATCAAATGTTGGGTGTCCTCGAACACCAAGTGATCGGGATAACTGTGGCAACAAGAGCGATGCAGCAGTGCAAACAACTACCTTTGAATCTGTTGAAGAAACAAATGATGGCAACAACCTTGAAACTTCAGCTGAAGATCTGAAGGAATCTGACTGCAAAATGCAAACCAATATTGATCTTCCCGAATCAAAAGAACAGGAAGAGGAACTTGAAAAGTCTGGGGAACTAAAGAAACCCAGTGAACCTATTGTTTCAACATTGGAGGAGGAGGATGCTTGTCCCACCTGTCTTGAAGGTAATGAGATTACATCATCCCTTGCTCTTAGCTCGTTACTTGTTGATTTTAACTCTTGGGAATTTTTCTTGAATTTGGAATTTTAGCTCCAGTTCAGTTATGTGTTTGGACCAGCAAAGTTGTTGAAAATGACATTTTGCTCTTCCATGCAGAATATGATGCAGAGAATCCAAAAATAATTACAAAATGTGAGCATCATTTCCACCTCTCGTGCATTCTTGAATGGATGGAAAGAAGTGACACCTGTCCTGTGTGTGACCAGGTTTGCTTTAAATAATATTTTTCTTTTATTCTGTGATTAGATGAGAACATGTTGCTTTTGGTGATTAATATATTTATTGACCATGATGGTGGCATGAAGGTTCTATTTATTTGTTTGGTGCAGGAAATGATGTTCAATACCACCATTGATGAATAGCTATCTGGACCGATCTGCAGTCAACTTTTAAGTGTTTTTGAACACAGTCTCTGCTTTTTGGGTTTTTTTTTCCCCTTTCAAGTGGCAGCCTTGTAGTATGGTCATTTTGTTTGTGGAGACGTTGCTTTTTGAATACCGTTTTGGGTAAAAAGAAGGAAAAACAGGAAGGAAGTAGTAGATGTAGATCAAGATTCAAGACAATAAGTTGCCTCAGTCACTTTTCATTCTCTATATATCCATAATGTACAGACCAACAGATCATAAGTGATACAACTGGGCGTATTGCATTTTATGGGGGGATTATATATGATACCACACAAGGCACACTCTCTCCGCTCCCCCTTCCTCTCTCCATCTCGCCTGTCCATGCTCTGCATCTATGTGTAGCTTCTCTCTTAGCATGCAATATTTGTATTCTGTAAGCAGCATTATCTGCCTTCATGCTTTGAATTGGTTCTGTAAATTGATAACAGGATACTACTTTTTTTATTGCATCTTTGGAAGGGTTCTTGGTTGGGGAGTGATTTGATCAGTGTGGGAAAGTAAGGGAAGCTCATGGACAGGTAATACTTTGTTAAGATTGATTCATGTATATAATGGTCTTGATTTTTTTTTGCTTTGAAACTTCCTATGAAAAGAACACATTGATGTGCTGAGGGAGTGCTCCCCTTCCTTTGCTTCCTTCTTTTCTTTTTTTAATACACACACACACACACAAGCCGTTCAGAAATTTTACATTTTTGTATTTGTCTGGCTAGTTTTTGTGCTTGATTTTTGATTCCAAACGTCGCATATCCTACCGGCTGGCTTGGGCTAGCAGTATGATTCTCATTATAAAGGACATAGATCATACTTTTTTCGGTATGGTAGATCACTATACTATTACAACCATGATGTACAATGTATGCCTGTAACAATCAAGTCCAAATTAATCACCATCACAATGAACATGAGGCATCAATTTCTGAATTTCAAGAGAAATTGACCCGTGACTTCTCAATTAGGAGAATCAGGTGTAAGAAATTGACTCTGCTTAACTGAGTTAATTTTCATAGGTCTAATTTATGGGGCTATGGACTCTCTTATTTTTGGTTCAACAAATAGGGATATCTGGTTTAATTTACGTTTATCTCGATTAATTTTTTTTTTAGGCTATTAAACTCCTTCCCTTTGTAGTTTCCACTCCCTTTTTACTATTATTTATTGCAGTTAGCCATATCAGCAAATAGAATACAAGTCTGTGTCTTTCCTCGGATACACAGCCGACAACAAAAAGGGTCACGTGTATGTCAAAGGCAATTAATGTGATCAATTACGGTCGGGTTTGGGTTGGATTACTGATATTTAAATTGAATTTTATTAGAATTTGAATATTGCAGCAATGAAAAATTCAACTTAGTGCTCGCATTTAACAAGATATTCGATTACAAATTTGATTCCAAATTTTACTTACAAGATTCAATTATAACTAAAAATAATATAAAGTTGAGATTTAATCAAGCTGAAAAATAGAATAAAACATAATCCAAAGAGAATGGCACAAAGTAATATAATACAAACGAGAGAGAGAGAGAGAGAGAGAGAGAGAGAGAGAGAGAGAGAGAGAGAGAGAGAGAGACCAACTTAAGAGTGTAAATGGTGGCTTAGCGCAAGAAGTTAGTTGATTTCAATGGTTTCATGAGAACAAATTGTCAATTGTTTTGATGTAGTATTAAATGAAAAATATTTGTTTTTCAATTTTTTTCTTCTATTTGTTTGAATTTAGATTGAATTATGATCAAATTTCATCTAACTTGAATAATATCAACGATCAGATGATCTAGATCTCAAGTCTATGACTCGAGATCAATAATTTATGAAAAGGCTTTTTTATAGGAAAGTAATAGGGCTTTCCATACCATTTTCTTTTTTATACCATTTTAATCAAACAGGTAAGTATATTATGTAAAATAAATATTTTTCCTTAGCTGAGATTTCATTTGTTCATTGGTATAAAAATAAATAAATAAATAGATAGATAAAAGGCAGAATCCCTTAACCCTAATTAGAAAGTAAATAAACGAGGAAAAAATAAATAATTTTTTTTGTCATTTAGGGACACATAATCTCTCACATTTCAAAAATTCGGACACTTCTTCCTTATTTTGTGCTGTCAAAATGGCACCTGGTTCAGCTATCATTGGAAACTCTACCTCTCGATTCTAGCTGGTGCTGTCTTTCACTCTCTCTATCTCTCTCGTTGCTGAAGAAAAAATTGGGCAGCGCAGGTAAAAAATTATTACGAGGTAAACATCTACGAAAGAAGACAGAGCACAGAAATTGCATGTATACACTGTATCGCCTTTGTTTTTGCCCTTTAAACTTTATCAACTATTCTATTTTCGCTTTGTATAGATTGGTTTATTTTTCTGTACCATAGATTTTGTTCATAGAAAAGGGAAAGGAAAAGGGAAAGGAAAAGTTAAAGTTGATGGAAGGATGGTCGACTTCGGAAGATGGGTCTAGTTTAGATGATGGTGAAACTGTACGAAACTTTAAGAGTAATAATGGGTGGTGTTTCGATCTTGATTCGCCGATAAAAGGAGGTGGTTTTGATGATTCTAAAGAAAGATTGAGGAGCTTGTTCGATCAAGTTCTTTCAGTTTTTCTAAAGGAGTCGTCTTTGACCAAACATAACCGGCCTATTCCGGCATTGCTCGGTGACGGGAAGCCGGTGGATTTGTTTAAACTTTTCTGGGTGGTGAGGAAAAATGGTGGGTATGACGCGGTTTCAAAGAATGGCTTGTGGGGTTTTGTCACGGAGGAATGTGGGTTGATTGGTGGCGTGATGCCATCCATAAAGTTGATTTATGTCAAGTATTTGAACGTATTGGATAGATGGTTGGGACAGTTTTCTAGCAATAGAAGCTTGGGAAATGGAAAGGGTAGCATTGTGGGGAGATTGGATATGTTGTCACAGGAGTTAGAGGCAGAGTTTAGAGGTTTGTTGGCGGATGGGCGAGAGGAGAAGAAAAGAGATGGTGAGTTAGTTAAATTGAAATCCCATAGAAATGGAAATGATATCGATTTTGATGGTGGCAACAATGGGTTTTATTTGTCAGCTATTGGAGATATTAATAAAGATCATGAGAATGCAGAAAGAAATATGGAAGATGATGATGATGAAAAATTTTGCTTCCGGGATGACAAGGATGTTGGGGAATCACCCAAAAGTGTTGCCGAGAAAACCATTAGTAAATTGCACTACATTGTGGAAGGAATTGTTGATGACGAAGGCAAAAAAATTTCTGCCCTAAATGACAATGATGCTGTGATATCAGCTCAGAATGTCATTAATAAAGTTCATGACTTTTCTGAAAGATTTATTAATGGTGACGACAAAAGTTTTTGCGCCCAAGATGACAGTGATTTAGTGGTATCCAACAAGAATGCCTTTGGGAAAGTCATCAATAAAGTGCATGATTTTTCTGGAAGAACACTTGATGATAGAATATTATATGCCCAAGATGACAATGGCATTAGGTTGTCAGCTAAGAGTGTTGTTGAGGAAGTACTTAATTCTCAGAAGAGGAAACGACAAATTTCAACTTTATCAGAAATGCTAGATTGGGTGATCCACGTTGCAAAGCATTCTGATGATCCTACAGTTGGGACTATACCTGAGTGTTCCAAATGGAAGGAGCATAACAAAGAGGAGTTATGGGTCCAGGCTTTGTCGGCAAGGAAGGCTTTCTTGATAGGAAGGCATGCTGATTCAAACACTGAAGAATCTCTCCTGCAGGTACAAGTCAGTTATATTATTCCTTTCATCAGCTTTAACCTTTCCGAAATCTGGAAGTACTCAGTCCCTCAATAATTAGTCGACTTGGTGTTTTATCTTGCAAAGATTACGTCATTTGCAGCTAAGTGATCAAATTTGCTAGGTGTCACGTACAAACATAGTATTACATATTAAGTGATAACTACCAGGATATCAAGAATGAACATCTTAGTAATTCTTCTGTGCTCTTATGCTTGAAACTACTAAACCAGGATGAAGTTCCATTGCTTATTCCCTTTTTGATTTAATTGAATGCCTTGGTTTAAGTCAGTGCCAATGTTAGAATGTCAGTGTTTATTCTTGATGGCAGTTCATACTTCGTTACTTTTAAATATCCAATGTATTTATTAAGTAAATACAAGAAGTAATTAACATCAGCAATAACTACCACAATAACCAAATTTTCACTGCTACTAGCAGTAGCAGTAAATCATCAAAATCTTCCCTACCCCTGAAAAAACCAATACCCCCCCCAAAAAAAAAAATAAAAAAAATCTGGGGACCCTAGATTTACTATGTCTTTCCATCCCTGCAACAGCTTAATAAGTGTCATAGACTCTCTCTATCTTGTCTACCTTAACTTTCCCTAGCCTCATCAGTTCAACTGGTATTTATTAAATGTCAAAGTTTCCTTACTATCGGTGATGTTTGTAATTGTACGTATTGGTTTAGTCAGAAACTAATTTACCTCAAGACATATTTCTAATCATTCACTTAACTCAAATTCAATGAATGTTTATTCTCACTTTAGTCCTTCGAATGGCAATCAATTGTTTGAAAAGGGCTACCATTGTGTCTTCTCCCACAAGGATGGGAATGAGAAGGCCTTAATAGAATGAGGGTGTGTTAAATGGCAAACTCCGAAAATGGTGAAGTACTTGGTAGCGAGAGAAGTTTTTATGACATTCTATGAAAAAGTAAAGAAGGGTGATGTGAGAAAACAATGCTATATGGAATCGATTGCATATTTATGAAAGACTACAAAATTTTGATTGTTGGACAAATGAATGACTCCTTGCATGTCGTTGTAAGTTACAATTTACAAAAACTTACTCATCCCATAGGATAGAAAGAAGGATCGTGAAGCCTAAGACCTCTAGAGGAAGTTTCTTGAAATTTTAGAAGTTTTTTTAATTATCTTGTTTTTTTTTTCTCAAAACGTTAGATTTGTTGTGCGAAATGGGGAGATGATTCGTTTTTGGGAGGATATTTGAATTGGGGAGTCTTATTTTTATGTTTGTTCTCCCAACTTTATTGTCTATCTTGTTATCATGATGCTTGTATTGCCTCTACAGTTAGATCTTATTCACCCACACTTTCTTGGGATTTTGACTTTACTAGAAATCTTAATGATAGGAATATTTGGAGTTGGTGTTACTTCTTTCCATACTCAATAATTGATCCCACTGTTTCTTTTTCTTTTAAATCATTCTATGAGTCTTTGATTGATGATACTTCACTTTATTTCTTTTACCCGTCATTGAGGATTTGGAAGTCTAAAATATCTTTAAAGGAGCAGGCATTTGCATGGGCAATTGCTCATGGTAAGCTCAATACTAATGATATACCACGTGGTGTGTGATGTGTAGAGGTGATGGTGAGAAAGTTGATTACTTTTTTTTGCATTGTTCTATGATTTTATCTTTGTGAAATAAGTTTTTTGAGTTGACAGCAGCTTGTTGGGTATCCCTGCGTTTCTTATCATCTTTACTTTTTATGGATGTCAAGGCGTTTGGAGGAGGTAAGAGACGTGTTAATTTCTAGAGCTGTGCTTTTTTAGCCATAGTGCAGTTTATTTGGTTAGAAAAAAATTCAAGAATATTTTAGATTAAATGCAAGGAACTGGAAAGATTGTGGAATCCTCTCTATTTCTTGGCTCCTGTTGGCCCTCGTTTTGGAAGGATTTTGAGAATGTCCCTCCATTTGGTATTATTGCAAGTAAGTAGGAGTGCATCATGCGGCATATGATGAGGCTTTTTGTTCCATAGTAGTGCCATGCACTGTTTATGCCTTTTGTTTATTGTTGGACAACTTGCCCATATTAGTTTCATCGTATGTAGGCATTTATTTTTATTACTAATGAACTTTAGTTTCTTGTCAAAAAAATTAAAATTTTCACAGGAGGTTATGGTTACAAGAAGTAATGCTATCATTATGTTTTTAAGGTTGCTTCCTATGGCAATGCAACTATTAGAAATTTAGGATTCTATGTCCTCATTTATGAAATTGTGGATGCCGCCAAAACAACCGTGGAACTGGGTTTTACCTGATACTTAGAGCAGAAGATTTGCCTCGATTTGTGAATATCTACCCTTTTTACACCTGGTAAGAATGAGCTCCAAAAGTTGGCTAGAACTGCAAAATTTGTGTGGTCGGTTTCAGGTGGTTGTTGTTCAGAGGTGTTGATGGGTTGCATTGGTTGGGGTGGTAGAAAGAAAAGGGGGAGGAGGAAGAAAGAGCTAGGGGTAGAGAAAGGTGGAGATGGGGAGTGGTGGGTGGAACTGAGATAAGAAGGCTGTTTGCAGGCTTGGAGGGGAGAGGAGTTGAGGGTTATGGGGGTGGGAGGTTTGTGCCAGTGTTTGGGTGGTGGTGGTTGTAGTGACCACGAGCAATGGCTACGACTGGTTTTGGTTCTTAAATGCCTCTAACCATGGATTTTCAGGTTATTTTGCGAATGTCTCACCTGGATGAATTAGTTGGTACTAGAGGAAGCACCTATTCTTATTAGAAAGCGAGACTTTAATAAACAAGGAATAATATTTCTATTCTTTTGGTAAGGCGGTAATGTGCGCCCTTGCCATCAAAGTAAAGCTTCGCATTGATCGATATCTTTTGAACATACCTCGACTTTAAGTGTGACGAGGGTATCCCACAAGGGATAATTTGGAATTTGCCCAAATTATTACTTGTGATGTCATACATTAATGACTAGGTGTAGTATTTATTCCAAAAATAATGCAATCATTGAATAATGCAATATTTGATGTATGAAAGATTTACCTATAGTAATACTTGTAATTAAGAGGGAAGAAAAGGTGAAGGAAGTGAAAGTAGAGGAAGGTATGACGTAAAAAATTTGGAAAGAAATTTATTTCATTTCTTGTTATTTTTGTTTTGCTCGTATATGACATATCTTGTTAACTGTAAAAAAACCAAAAAGGTGGGAGCTGAAGCACATCAACCACCAGAGGGCAGTTGCACGTGGACATAAATACGTTGTACACAAGCCATAACAAGCTTTTAGGAATAAAAAAGTAAGAGTCCAAACCAGCCAACTTACAAGTGTACAATCAATTTCCTATAAAAAAATATCACATACAACTTGTATACATACATAGCCATGATAGGTGATCAATAACCCACCAGATTTCCACTCATGAAAGCATAAGGAAACTACTTTAAGATAGACCTGACAAACTCTTTTAGTATAAATGCCAGCCTGCAGTTACTGCCTTAAGCAAGAGAGTTCTTATATTTAGGGCTCACCTGGAGTTATATAATTCCACGGAAATTAGAAATGACCGTTAATCCATTTTGGTGTTGGTAATCGAAGGTGGTGGGAAAGATGGGTTGTATATAGATCTAACATTTGACATTATTTGCATGACTTGGTTATTCTCAGATTTGTAGTCACAACCACGCAGTTGTTAGCATGAGCTTTGGGTTTTTACCAAAATATGATATAATTTGCTTGACCTATTTATGTTCAGAAGATAAGAGGGAAAAATATGAATGTTCTTTTTTCTGTTCTTAAGGAATCAACAGACATCTCTGTGCTCGTCCTGCAAAATAAAAGGAAAACAGGACACCAAAATAGGCATTACATCTGTTGTGATATTTAATGAATATGTAAATTTCCTGTTTTATGACTTCTGCATAATGATAAATTCATACTGCTTCTAGTAACCCCATAACACCTCAGAGTTGAGACTAGAGTCTTTTGAATGCTTTATCATTAATGACCAAAAAAAAAAAAAAGAATGCTTTATCATTAATATAGTGAGAAAGAGTTTTCTGTTGAAAGTTTCATAAGAACTCATTTACATATAGATGCCTATTTGTTTCCAGTTTTATAGAACTGATAATTTTTTTCTTGCAGAAGAAGCAGAGAATGTGTCCTTCCATGTACGAGGATTGTGATGGTCTCAATCTACAATCTACAGAGAAATTAAGAGGCAGCAAAAGGCTTCATTCTTCGATAAAATCTCAATTGTGCCCTTGTTGCAACTCATGCTCAGCCAGTCATGATAAAGTGGTAAGTCCTCACAAGGCAGAATTGGAGAATAGCCCAAAGGAGACAAATCTTCAGGCTGTTGAGACATTACCGGCAAATACAATAGACTGTATGTCCAGTGATGTGCCCCACCAAAAACAGGTTTGTGTGGGCCCTCTCTTTCAAGCTGAAGTTCCTGAATGGACTGGCATAGTTTTTGAGAGTGATTCCAAGTGGCTAGGCACACAGATGTGGCCTCAAGATGGAAAAAGTAAATCCTTTATTGAGTTGGATCCCATTGGGAAGGGAAGGCAAAATCCATGCAGTTGTCAATTTCCTGGTTCTACTGAATGTGTTAGATTTCACATTGCAGAGAAGAGGGTGAAACTGAAGCTTGAACTTGGTTTGCTGTTCTATCATTGGAGATTTGATCGCATGGGAGAGGAAGTTTCACTTTCTTGGACAGCAGAAGAGGAAAAGAGATTCAAGGATGTGGTGAGGTTAAACACCACCTCCCCAAACAAGTTATGGAAAAATGCTTTCCGGTTCTTTCCTACAAAAACAAGGGAGAAGATGGTGAGTTATTACTTCAATGTCTTTCTTGTCCAGCGCAGAAGTTATCAGAATCGGGTGACCCCAAAAGATATCAACAGTGATGATGATGAGACGGAGATTGGATCTGTAGGTGGCAGTTTTGGTCGAGAAGCAATTCATGTTTCAGGCTCCAAGTTATTGATATGCACCCAGAATAAGCAGTGCACTGATTGGGAGTAGCATAGAAGGAGTAATCCGTTTTATGGCGGTTTATATGCAACTTTGCCTTCCTGCATTCACAGGTACACCATCACTTACTGTTCTTGACAATTTTGTTGACACAAAAATTACTGTTGGTAGTTATTTTAAATGTAGCAGCATCATACTAGAGGAAGAGACAAGTTGATTGGGTAACTGATGATCCCAAAGGTTTATTGTTGTACTGTTGATATGTAATGGTTGGCTTGTGAATACCTTCAAGGTGATGCCAAATACTAGAATATTAAAGCCATCGGTTTGAGATCGATTACTTGGTTTACCAGATGGCAAAGCAATACAAATTGGTCATTGAAATTACATTTTCTTTGTCATAGGGCACTTATGAGTTTCTTATACATGGGATTTTCATCTGCTCACTTGTCTCCCATTTGTCTCGTGTATATAAGTTTGGGGATCATCGGTCCGTATATTTTCACACCTCATATATATCCCAATACATGGTTGATTTTGAGCAGTGGTAAGAGGTACCAAAGGTGAGAAACACCAATGAGATCAATTACATAAAAGTATGTTGATCTTCCAAATACAACTGTGGGATTAATATTTCTCTCTTTGAAGAAGACATAATCTTTTTCCTGTCAACTGAGCACCATAGAGCAGAAATGTTTATATTAGCTTAAACTTCTGTTAAGAGAGACAAAGGATTGGTTTTGTGCAGTTGTAGAAGACACTAAATATGAGAAACACCAGAGGGATGAATAGTTGTGGGAAATGCCATATGTGAAAAACACCAAAGTCCAAAGAGATCAACTCCTCTTGTCTACAATTATTTTCTGCTCTCAAGTGTACATGTCCTTGAAAGAGAGATATTAACCCACAATTGTAATTATCAGCTCGAGTAGTTCATGTAAGGTTGTGAATGGATCGTGTCATGTTGGGTTCATGTCGTGCTTAAGTTAAAATCTTATTAAAATTTATTTATATTCATGTGTACTTAAGTTCATATTGTGTAAAAAAATTTAGATGGGGTTCTAAATTATTTTTAGATGAATAATAGTTCATGTGAATGATTATATTAAGATCAAAATTATCTCAAAAATTATAATTTCAAAAAAATTAAATTGAATAAATAAGTCAGATTTATTGAGAATTCAAATAATAAGAGTATAGAGTCTTATAAGTTTATGTATAAGAATATAATGTGATCTTTTTTTTTTCTTTTTTTCATTTTGAATGTATACATATTTATGATTTAAAGAATTTTTTTTTTTAATTTTTTGACTATGACATCTTAATTTTTTTATATTCTTTTTAAATTTAGTCATATCATTTTAAGGGATGGATGCAAATGGGGCCCTAGGTGAGTGGGGCCTTAGGCAACCGCCTCACTTGCCTAAAAGTAGAGCCGACCCTGTGTGTAAAAAGTCATGTTTAAGTAGCATCTAGCATTTTTGCGTCACATTTAGTAGGTTTCGTATCAACCTATTATTTGACGAGTTTAGCAAATTTACCTGATTATTATCCAAAATCGCTAAAATTCAACTTAATCTCGTTAATTTTGTATTGATGTTATGTCCGTTCATGAATCGTTCCTACTTTCATGTAATCTTATCTTTAAACTTCCATTCTTATCTCTAATGGAGAAAATTCAACCTTGTACAAAGAAAAATGAAAATATGGTAGATGGTCTGGAGGATAATAACATTAAAATCAAACACATTGGTGCATTGGCAAAACAATATAATATTGACAATTCTTTAGGGTCAGGTTATTAGGGACTTATTCTTCATAAATATCCTAATCCCGCGTAGATGACATGTCTTTGATTGAATAGAGAAAAGATTAATCGATGTACGCTTAAACTGATCTAGACATTCCTAATCGTTGCACTAAAAAAAAAATAACAATCTCAAGTTGAATTTAGACAAAAAAAAAAAATTCAATACTTTCCCAACTTTTCTGGCCAAAAATAAGAGACTTTTTTGCCCACAACACTAGTTTCCCATGTGTTATTAGGCCAAAAAGTAGTTTTCCTCCCTAGCAAAAACAAGTCTAGCAATGAATCAATCCCCACCCAACTTTTCTGTGATTTAAGCCAAACATTGTGAAGGTAGATAAATTAATTATTTTTTATTTTTATTTTTTTTGGGAGAGGATGAAGAGGGGGGACTTGAACCCTTGACTTCAAGAAGGTAAAATCTTGACAAGATAAGAAGTACTATTAGACCAAAGATCTGTTGGTGGATAAATTAATTCAAACCGAGAAATATAGCTTAATAAATTTATTCTTAGAAATAAATAATTGCTAACAGTCTTATTTATAATTGTTACATTGATAATAACATTTGGACCATTTTTTTGATTTACAATAATAGATCATTATTTTAAGTACAAGTTTATTTGGATAAACCCCTTCGGCATTTAAGTTTGTATCATATTCGTTAACTCAGTTACTAATATGTAACTTCAAAAAAATTAAAAAAAAATTTGCACACAATACCAACTTCATGTCTAATACTATCTCAATTCATTTATTGTGTGTTAATTGATCTTGTTATTTTTCGTTGAGTTCGTGGTAAGCCGAGAGTAGGTGAGTCCGGAATAAAATTGATAGCCCTACCTGCCAACCGATCAATAATGTACCTAGGTGCAGCCTCAATCCCTTTTTTCTCCCCTGAGCTGGATCTCAAAACTAAGGAATAATTATATTTTGAACCTCTAAAAATTTTTAAATTATATTTTAAATGTATCAAAAATATTATAATTTAATCATTTTGTTAGTTTTTATATCAATGTCAATAGAATGACTTTGATGAAAAAAATAATGAAAACAAACAGAAAGATTATATTTTAATACTTTTGATAAATTGTGGATACAATATGAAAAATTTAATATCTAAGGGTATAAAATAAGAATCTTAAAATCTTGTAGGGTATAAAGTGTGAAAAGCCCCAATTTGGATTAGAAAGTAACACAAAGAAATAGATACGTCGTCGTTTCTTCTGAAAAACCATAGAGAACGACATCGTCTCCTCATCTCTTCCTTGCCGTGCGTAAAAGTAATCTTGGCAAAACCGTCTCTGTAGAAGATGCATAAATGGCTCAGTACTCATCTCTATTGCTGTTGTTTGAACCGCTTTGGGTTGCAGTGAAGAAAAAGTGGAAAGCACAAGTCCTCCACCTCCTTTCTCTCTCTCTCCCCTCGCATATATAGATTTGGATACACACCGATACATATCTTTCTCAGCCTCACACTCAAAATCCCAAAAAGGAGAAAAAACTGACAGAGTAATCATGTCTTCGCCAAGCAAACGTAGAGAGATGGATTTAATGAAACTGTAATTTATAAACCAAATTATGCTTCATTTTAATATAATTTACTATTTTTTTGGGTTAATTTGGATTGTCTTTTGTGGGTTTTGATTATTGTGAACTAGGATGATGAGTGATTATAAGGTGGAAATGATCAATGATGGCATGCAAGAGTTCTATGTGGAGTTTCATGGACCTAAAGACAGTTCGATTCTCATCTCAACCTTGTCTTTATGTTTTGATCTAACTGAATGTATATTTGAGTTGGCTTTGATGTTATCTTTGTTGGGTACTTGATCTTTCTTCCTGTTTATTTATGTAATTGTGTTGACGTACATGAAAGCCCTTGATTTAGCTGAACAGATAGTAGCCGTGAACCGTATATCTATTTTCTCAACTGTTACACTTCATTTTGATTATCAATTGAACCCTTTTTCTAAATATATCTGAATAATCTGGCTCTGGGTTTTGGTAATTGTCCTCTGGTTGTATCATTTTGATTATTTAGGCTGTTTATGTGATGCTGAACTTGTAGTTGCTTTAGCTTTTGTCACTTGGAAGTTTTAGCATCGCAAGCTGAACTTAGATCCATTTATAGCGTGGGATTTTGATTTAATTTGCTCCTTTCGTATTGTATTGCTTTCTGAATGAGCTGCAAGGTTGTTGTTCACTGATTTTCCTCACTGTAGAAAAGACCATATTATGGATTGAATATGGGTTGTTTTGGCCTTGCACAAAAAGGGGACTGTTTTCTATTTACTGGTTTATGGCAGGTCCTTATCATGAAGGTGTGTGGAGGATAAGGGTGGAGCTGCCAGATGCTTATCCGTATAAATCTCCTTCTATTGGCTTTGTCAACAAAATTTACCATCCAAATGTTGATGAGATGTGAGTTAGTGGAAGAAAATAATTAGCCTGTTTTGGTATTTTCGTCCATTAATAAGGCTATATTTCATAACCTTCTTAGAAATGAATGTTTCAAGTACTACGTTTTCTTTTAATTTTGAGTTTCAGGTCGGGCTCAATATGCTTAGATGTTATCAATCAGACATGGAGCCCAATGTTTGGTAAGTTTGCCATTTCAACATTTTCTTAAATTCAGCATTGTTCCCCATTTGCAGATGTTTCAATGTTTATGTCTAATAGTTTTTGGACTCTGCTATAAAATTCTGTTCGAAAAATTTTTCAGATCTCGTAAATGTGTTTGAAGTGTTCCTTCCTCAGCTTCTTTTGTATCCCAACCCATCAGATCCATTGAATGGAGAGGCTGCGGCACTGATGATGCGTGACCGACCTGCATATGAACAAAGAGTGAAAGGTGCAATGCTTTTAAAACATATAGCTCCTTAAGCTGAATGCCTTGATATGTTGGATTAGCAAACTATTGGCTCATTTGATTCCAATATGTTACGCATTGACTCTCAGATTGGCGCTGCGAGTCTCAATGAGACCATTATTATCTATCACTGAGTCTTCTGTGTACAGGACAACCTCACTCTTTCATAGTCATCATCATATGTTGATAGTTAAAGCCTACTCTGAAAATTTTTAATCATTAAAAATGACTCAAGATGTTGGATTTAGTTCCTACCCAGTTGTGTGCTTTGGATTGACATGGGGTTATTGCTGGATGTGGTGGATTCTTATTATTCTAATTAGCGGACCATCTAAGAGGATCTAAGATTAAAATTCATTGGATTCATTTGAGTTATATATTTAGTGTTCTATTAACATAGTACAATCCAAAATTTATAAAGTATAAATCTTTTGAAAATTAGAAAGAGAAAAGGCTTAAGGACTCATTTTCTTTTGGTACCAAAGTTTTAAGTGTATGGATGATGATGATATAGTCCCTTTTTTTCATGTCTTTTGCCATTTTTGTGACTTGTGAAAGTCTAGACATTTTTCAAAAATGGTATGTGTTGAAGAAGTTTGAATAACAAAAAATGCTTCTTCAAAGCAACGCATAATATACAGTAGGGAGCCAGTAAGTTGCATCAAAATTGAAATGAACTTGGAATTTAAGGGGTGACAAATGTCAAGAGATGAATGCTTGTTATCTTTGATTGGTACCTATATGAACTATGAAGGATATGTGAAGAGAATCTTGCCAATTGAATTTCAGTGTTTCACTGTGGTGGATGAAGCTAATGAGTGTCTTGGAAATTAGTGCAACCTTATTTCATTGTATGGAATTTGGTGGGCAATTGGAAAACAATTTAGCTTAGCTGGAACTTGGAAGGGCAGACAAAGATAATTTCCTCCATTTCTTTTGTGGGGGGTGGGGGAAGTGGCGCAAAGTAAACTTGCATGAAGGAGATTCTCAATGGGCAACCAGACAATAAAATTGATAAGGAATTGTGAAAAATATGGCAGGGAGTCATGAGTTTACAGGGATGTTAAAAGAAGACGCACTCGAAACCATAGAAATAAACAAAAAGAGAAAACCCACAAAGCCATCCTCACCTATTTGGTAGTCCAAGTTGAAATGGATGAGCAAGAACATCATGTAACTGAATTATGAGAAGGTAAAGATAATCCTAATTGGGGACCAGATGAATGCAAGTCTCTAATATGGTTTGGACATGTGCTGCAAAGACCAGTTTTTGCATTTTTAGTCAGTGTAGCTAGAAGGACATGATGATGTTCAATTGGAGAAATTGATTTAGAATTTTCCGAGGAAAACAGATAAAGCATTAGAATTGACTGGTGAAACAAATTCATGTCTCTATATTGAGTTGGTAACATGGGATAATTGCACTTTGCCATTGCTTTTCGTATAAACAGTTTTAGTTTATATATTTACTAGGGGTAACCCATGGTCTCATGCGTGAAGACAAGGTACAATATAAATGGTTTTGAGAGGGATGCTGATGGCCGTTGGATGAGTCTATTCATCAGATGGGTTTATTGAAGTCTTCCTCTTTTATATTATAGATGTCAAGCTGCATGTAGATTTAAAGTATGTCAAGCAGCATACAAATTTAGAGTAAAGTTCGTTTATTTATTTTTATCTTGGACTTGAGACAACATATTTGATATGTGTTCACTTTTTTCTTCAAGTGAAGGTTCTACATAGACCATTCTTAAAATGAGATTTACTTCTCTAGTGAATTCTTGAGAAGCGAAGTTCCCAAAACATTAAGTGATGCATGCCACTATGCAAGCCCTTTTTCATTTGATTGAGGTTGAAGGATTTGGTCGTGAATGATTTAATCCTTTAATTGAATCATTTCATTGGGAATTCAAACATCGATCTATGGTTTTCCATAATTGGCAGCACTGGCCATATTTTGGCATTACATCAATAAATTAAACTGTTGTTCAACATCTAAATATGAATACCACCATTTGCACACTCAGAGGAGCATGATCAAATTCCTCTTCCACTTGACGTGTGGTTTTGTTATATGTCATGCAAGAAGTGTGCAATGCCCAAGTTTCTTTAATTCTCATAAAACTCGAGAAGTGGAGATGACTTATAGAAATGTTATTTTATAAAATCCTAGTTATTGCCTTTGTCTGAAGGTACTCAATAATTAAAAAAAAAATTATCAATCATAAAACATATTTATATTTACACCCAAAATAAAATCACAAATATAGAGGAGAGACAAAAGAATTTAAGTATCGATCATAATGGGGTGAGTGGTGGTAATGGTGGATAGCAGTGGTTGTGGTGGAAAACGGTGATAGTTATGGTGGGTGATGACGACCATGGTGGTGGTGGATGTGGGTGGCGGTGGGTGACGATGATGGTGGTTGGCAGCGATGGTGGGCAGTGCCAGTGGTGGTGGTCAACGACGAAAGGTATTTTTGGGCTAGTGGTAGGGGTGGTGGTAGGTGTGGTGCGGGTGGGTGATCGTGGGTGGCGATAGTTGTGGGCGACGACGGGTGGTGGTTGGTTGTGGTAGTGGGTGGTGTGGGCAACAATGGTGATGGTGGGCGACGGTGGTTATAGGATGACGATGGTAGTGGTAATAAATATAAGAATGAGATGATAATGGTGGTAGGTGGTGGCAATGGACAAAAGTGGTAGCAATCGGTGGTGGCGCTTGTGGCAGAGGTGGTAGAGCAGTGGGGGTGGTGTTGGTGTTGGTGGTGGTGGAGTGGCAGTGCCAGTGGCGACGATGGTGGTGATGATTGCGGTAGAGGTGATGGAGCGGTGGGGTCGTGTTGGTGGTGGAGTGGCGGCAATAGCGATTGTGGTTTATTGTTTTTGTAAAGAAGTGATTTTGAAGAAGTAGAAATTATTTTATTTTATTTTTACTTTTACATACTTATTTAAGTGGTAAAACGACTTTGACTTATTTAGAAGTAATTAAAAAAAGTTGTCTCAAACACTACTCTTTTTTTTTTAAGTGTTTATGAGAAATTATAAATCTTATAAGTACTTTTGAAAAGTCATCTCAAACACACCTTTAAGGGGCTTATTTTACCTATTAAATTTGGGGAGTTAATATTAGCCGCCGAATTGACTTTAAAGTAAAATTGAAAATAATTTCAATCGCAAAAATTTTGTTTGTCTTTTGAGATTTGAATTCTCCTATACTTTATTATATATACTAAAATAATGTTGTGTTTCCTGTCAAAAAATAAAATACTAGAATAGTAGGATCTAAATGGGTAGAATAGATTTTACTTTGGTCCAGCTGGTAACCTGATTCTGCTTTATCTGTTATTTGCTCACCAGTTATCTTTAATTGGCTCTCTTATTTGTGTCTTGGGCACTTGGTACTTGGTAGACTAACCAAGCTGGATCTTCTCGGATGGTAAGTTTTTGCTCCTAGTATGTAAAAGGAAATTTGTTTGATATTATCAGCCTTTTTAACTGTGATACCTTCTTTGTATGTGCTCTATGGTCTTATCTATCCATAGCATGGATCATAAAAATTGTTTTGATCGGTTTAACAGGAGTGCTTTAAAGAGGTCGAATGAAGTTTCCAAGTGCTAGTCAAAAGATACCTTTTTAGTTGTAGTTTGCCATTTGACTTCTGGGGTTTTCTAAGCTATTTATCTGCAAATTTTGCTCATAGATGCTTCATTTTTTTTCCAGAATTTTGCCAGAAATATGCCAAACCAGAAGATGCTGGTGCTGCACCTGAGGTGAAATCTAGTGATGAAGAGCTGAGCGACGATGAATATGCCTCCAATGATGAGGAAGTTGCCGGTAAAGCCGATCCTTAGGGGAGTGAATGTATGGCTATGGCCCTTGTATCACCATCAGAGAATGTATGACCTTGCAATTTTCTGTGTACATGACATCTATAACTGATGATAATAAACCTAGTCCTACTGAAGGTTCATGTGCTGGAAAAATTCCTGGTTCTCCTGTCTTTTGGTGCTATAAATCTTCTTGTCTCTATTGATTGATTCTGCCTCTATTGCAGATATATATTTAGTTTTGATTGTTCAGACTAAATCTGGTTTGTTGTGCTTGATAGAAGAAAGCACAATTTTAGGAAAAAATGTGGTGGCGTAGGTTTTTTTTTTGCTGCAAGTGTTCAGGTTTGTGCTGACTATTTTCTCAACATTTAAGACCGGTTATCATAGCTTAAGTTAGTTTATAAAAACTAAGGGTGATTGGTTCTTAGGGGGTGTATGAAAAGTATCGAACCTGATATCTCTACCGGCCATTTTTAAAAATTTTTTAATTTTTTTCAAAAAAAAATTGAGGGTCCATCTAAGGTACCATAAGTTATTTTTTTACGGTATTTAAACTTAACACATAAAATATTTTTAGTTAATTAATTTAGTTGAATGTGTTATTTTCTGATCAATGAATACAAACAAAGTAAATCAACATTTATGGCTAAAAATTATTATTTTTCAATGTCGTATTGTATACTTGTCCAAGAAGAGGCTTTTACTTTCTGTTTTTTCCAAATAAAAATTATATTACTGCATCAAATTATTCTTATTTTTTATTTTTTATTTTTTTTCTACTCTCGAGAATTCAGGCAAAAAATAGGTATAACTTATAAGTAGTCACATCATTGATCATTACAGTTGGGTATGCAAGACAACATTTTGACAGTGATGTGGCCTGCTTTAATTGCTAGATACCCACCTAATGGGCTGGCACCATTAGAACCGTTCATTGGGGGCTGGCTGGATCTATCCTGTCGATGCATTGGATTATGACTCATCCCAATTTAAAAGTTTGATTAATAAATTTTATTTTTTTGTTTCTTATCTGAATTTATTAGCAATTTAAAACACTATACAAAAGTTCAATCTTATTGAAATGACTTAATTAACTAAATTTTAATAAATTATATTTAAATTTTAACTAATTTTTTTCAAATAATTACTTAATTTTTTTAATATTTATATAAAAATATATAAATAATTCTAATCGGATCATAATCATATTAAACATAGGTATATCAAAATTCGAATCTATGAAATATAATATATCGAATTCGAATTTAAATTTAAATTATCAATAAAAAATAGCAATTCACATCCAACTAATCGAATTCAATCCATTGACAAGCCTGGATCCTCTTACCTTACGAGTTAAGACCAAATTACAATAACGTAGCTATGGTTTTTGAAAATCTGAAAATGAATCCTCAAGGCTAAAATTAAAACTAGTCAATTTTTAAACTTGGTATTGTGATAAGATTCACTTAAGTTTTTATGTATACACACGTAATTTCTGTAGACATTTATCTCTATCTCTCGATTCTCTAATATAGTTTTTTAGTGTTTGCTTTAATGACCGATGCAGATTTTTGGGAAATTTGTTGTGCAATTAATTATTAGATTTTAAATTTTAATTTTTATAAATTATTTCTGAGAAATTAACTTTGGTTTTGAGTTACAACAGTCATAAGTTTTGACCACATCAAACATTGAACAAAAATCTAAGCATATCAATTGAGTTCAACTGAAACTCAAACTCAAACTCAAACGAGACAAGTTTGACTTAGTTCAATACCTTTTTTCTGGGTTGTTTTTTTATGAAAAACATAAACACATGCAAATGTTCTTTCACCACTCACAGAATGATGCTGACCAAGGTCACCACTGGCAGTAACTTCACTGGTTTCAATTGAAACCAGCATATTTGGAAGCCTTTATAAATGTCATCACATATGTTAGTTTACTTGGCAGCCTAATAATTCTTTCCTTCAGTGAATGGATTTCAAAACTTTCAGAAAGTTTCCTATAATGCTTTACCAAAAAAAAAAAAAAAAACCGACCCAGTGCATAAGACTCTCGTCGCTATTAGGTATGAGAATAACTAGATGTTCGTAGCCTTACTCGTAGAGACTTAGATATACGTAGCCTTCCTTGTAGACACTATGTCCGCGACTCGAACACTTGACACCCAAGCCAAGTCACACATTAGCAAACTAATATTACTCAACATATTGCATGCTGGAGACAGCAGCAAAATGCAAATGATTTTATGTATACTGTATGAAAATAGCCATATTGTTAACGACAAGGTTATCCCAAATGAATAAAAGATCATCTAACAGAATTACAAATACCATTTGAGGAGTGAAAGCATTAAGAACCTGACCTGGTTGTACAATAATCATAAAGCAGATAACCTCATTCCCACATTAAGCAATTCTATGATTTAAACTTCCAACAAGCTTAATAGAGAGCATTTATGAAAGCAAAACCAGGATCAGTGTATTTCAGTAGCACCCACTCCAGAGAATTAAAGATGATAGAATTTCATCCCTAGCTATGTTTGACATAGATATTTGAGTATGATGAATTCTTATTAGGGCAAAACTTTTAATGCTATACTCGTAATAGAGAACTGTACATATTTCACATTAGAAGGATCAATCCATGTATCCATACAAGTAAAATTTAACAAAATTGATTACACGAAAGGGGAATTCTTTCAACTGACTGACAAATTTTCTCGTTAATACCTCAATGCAAGAATAGCCTCACATAGAATTTGCAATCATCCAATAGCGATAACAAATGGAAGGAATTCAAAAATGAAAGAGCATCTATCATTCATGAAAAAAGGACGAAAAAGCTCCTCTGAATTGGTAAAGCAGTTTTATTCCAGACTTTTGTATGAATCTAATGTAAATTATGCTTACAAGGAATTTAAAACCTATGGTGAAGTATGAACCTGAACATTGGCAAGCAGCCTTGTGAATTTGCTGAGGGTTTCTCGAGCAGCTATGGTGTCTGGATGATCCTCACCACAGATGGAAGTTCTAATGAAAATAGCCTTTCTAATTAGATCATCTGCTATATCAAACTGGGCCCCTCTTACCATTAGCTTAGCTCTGATTTCTAGCACATTGGCTCTTGATAGGGCTAGCTCCTGCCAAAGGCAAGGATTCAACTGGGCATTTGTCTGGATGGGTTTCCAACAAACTGATTTATCCAACCACTTTTCAACAGGGGCAACAAAGGCTTGATCCGCTGCTTCTAATGCATTTGTACATAAGCGAAGCATTTCTAGAGCAGCACTGCAACGTGAGAATGTAATAAATGTTCGAATGGCAAGCGGTAAAATTACTTCTTTCACAAGAAACAACAAATCTGACACCTTCAGCTGAACAACTATAGGGTCATTCCCAAATCCGAAGAGCAAGAAACATGCCTCCCATATGTGTTCAGAGTGCTGGGAAATAGACCCACGACTAATGACAGTTTGCACCATTGCTTGTGCAACCCCCATTACTTTTCCCTTACGGGCATAACTCCTGATGAGCGGGTTGAAGTGAATATAACCTTCCTTTGTACTACTTCTCGCGATATTAAATCTTAACAGCAAGGAAGATGCTTCTGCTTCTGATTTCTTAGTGTATGATGATGTAAAGCCACAAGTCAATGAACACAAAATCTTTCTCCATAAGCGAGTATGGCGGTGTTTCTCAGGTATCTTGTGAGCAGCCTGAGCTAACAGAGAAACTGGAATGGCTGCTGGTGCAAACCAACCACTTGCCAGAACCATCCTAGTCGCTAAACTCCTTGGCCCATCCGCATGGTCAAATATGGAGAAACAAACCTCAAAGAGTTGCAAAAGGAAGTTATTTCTTCTCAATGAATGATTTTCCCTACCACTCCATGTTATGTCCCTTGAAGGCATTCGGTTGATGGTATCTAACAGCCTACTTGGATTTATGGGAAGCTCAGACAGAATAGCTCCTACAATAGCAAGGCCTAGGGTTTGCCTTCCAAGTTTCTCCTCAATAACACGAAGAGCATCAGTTTCCACAATCGGGTAGTCCTTAACACTTCCCTGCATTAAAGACAATGCCTCAACCCCCGATAGGTAAGAAAGCCTCAAAGGCTCCAAATTCATTATGCGAGAGAGGTGTGTGGCTATTATAACATGGGTTTCTCCACCAAAACGGGGAAGAAGATCCATTACAAGTTTGTGATCCCACCAGTCCTTTTCACTCTCTAAATTATCAATCACCACCAGAAAAGGAATGTTCCGCATAAGCTCCTTCCGGACTCTAGCTATGGCTGCCTCTTCCTGCTCTTCAAAGCTCTTTATCCTGCTTTTTTCTGGGCAATTCTCAACACCCACATCAACTTCTAAGAATGACCACAAGTTCAAATAATTTTGGCGGATGTATCTGCTTTCCCCTCCGATCCATAAGACCATCTTATACCTCTGATGGAACCTGTACGCAAACTCAAGAAGCAACTCTGTCTTGCCAATTCCTGAATCTCCTGACACGCAGGCAATCCCCTTGCCATATACAACTTTCATGGATCTCTTTCTCCTAACATGCTTTCCGCCACTCTTTAACTTTGGTGTTTGGTGATGCGTCTGAGGAAGTTCAGTGCTTTGCATCTCAATCTCCTTTACAGACTCCTTCCATACAACGGGTTCTTTTCCCTTCCTCCTGCTACTCTCAGTTGGTTGTTCCCTTCGTTTTTCATCCATTGAACTACTCCTACCCCAACCAATTGTTAAATTCTTTCTCCTGGGTCTTGCCTTCAGTTCAAAAAAATCTCTTTCTGAATCTCCACTAACCTCACCATTAAGCCTAAATTCCAGCTCAGATAGTTCCTTCTTTCTACCTACAAAATTCTCATTTCGAGGAAAAGGGAACTCCACTTTCTCCACCTTCTCCTTCCATTTGGCTAGTCTGTCCACGACACTTCTCCTCCCCAACCTCAATGCCAAGAGGGTGACAGCCCTTAGTATGCATTCTCTCCACTTACCATCATGAGCCTCCAGCTTCCACTCATCAACACGGGTTAGGGCACTCACAGCGTCTCTCCATTCCTTCTCCAGCCCTCCATAAAGAAGCCAAAGTTCTCCTCCATGTTTTTCCCATAACTCCCCCCTTTTCTCAACTATGTCCCTGACAAGACAATCATCTGGTCCCAAATCAAAGTATATTGGAACTAAATTCTTCTTGCCTGAAAAGAACCGCAGCTCTTCAATGGTATATGGATTCCTGAAAGACTTTCTGGTTAAGATTACAACACCAAAAGTACAAGCATCCATTGCCCTCTCAACAATGCCATGCTTCCGAGAATTCCGACACCGAGATCGGTCTGTTACAAAGCAACTCAACCCTTGAACTTCTAACTCAGCTCGGAGCCAATTAGTAAATCTTAGCAATAAAGGTTTGCGACCATGAAAACCTATGTACACATCGCAACTCCTCAGTCTATTGGAAGAAAACGAAGTTGAAGAAGGAGTAATTGAAGTTTCATGGCTTCTCCCAATCTTCTTCTGTTTTCCTCTTTGCATAAAATATTCATCGCCTTGGCCAATACCGTAACTCGATAGAGTGCTATTGGAAAGGCCTGTTGAAGAAGAAACATGATCAAACTTCCGAAAATCACCTGAAGTACCAGTTGCTGCAGCTTGATAAGCATTGGCCAAGCTCAATTTGACATTTCTCAGGGATTCGGGGTCTGGAATCCCCAAACAGAAATGCGGTGGATCAATATTTGTTTTAGCACCATTGCATGGATTGTCGGGACGTGCAGACAATTGACACGTTGGTGATCTTGGAGAGAAGAAGGGTGACTGATTTGCCGAAAAGAATGCTGAAGATGAAGACGACAAAGTCCTTGCAGTCGTACTTGGTAACGATCTGGAGCTCTCTTCCCGGAGATCCATTAACTACCACTCACTCCCATGAATAATGCAATCCTGTGCATGCTAGATATGGCAAGCTATTCTGGAATGGAGACAACTGTTAAGACTTTGAATCAATGACTTAACTAACCAAAGTGGAAAGAAATGATCTGCAATATAAGTGCATTGAATGTCCTAAGGCATTTAATCATCTCTAAAGTTTTAGGAAAAAATGACCACCATGCTAGTGAAGTAACAAGCACAATTTCCCCAAAAGAAAGAACCCTGCTGAGAGAGAGAGACAGAGAGAGAGAAGCACAATGGAGATAATGATAAGAAGAATGCTATCCCTTGATTCCTGAAAAACAAACTTTCACAGTGCACATTAATGGACCAAGAGATTCAAGAAATGCAGGGAAGAGAGCAATCACCTTTGGAAATTACCAAAGAACAAAAGCACATATATATCCTGATAACATGAAATTTTTTGCAACCTTAAGTTTCTAAAATCATGTAAATCCATCAAAACATACCATACATGTAATAACAAAGATACCTGAATCCTACAATTTAACAAACGATCTAAGGAGGCAATGAATGAAGCTTGAAACCCGGAACAACTTGGATCTAAAGAAGCTCTTAATCAAGTGACCCACTTCCTAATTCCTTATGATAAAGCATAGGTTTCATAAGAACTCGGATCTGAAAACTTACTTGAAGAAAAAAGCCCATAAATGTCAGTATCAAAGATTCAACCTTTAGTGTTTGAATCAAGCAAATTAAGCAGCTTCCTCTAAACAAATGATTAGCCAATAAAATATGTAATTAAGAGCAACCCAAATCTCTACGAACTCTCGAAAATCAACCAGGAAAAAAAAGTATCAATCTATCAAAATGAAAAGGAAGTTTCAATATTAGTACATACATCACATTCTAGAAAAAAAAAAAAAACATACCCTAGAAATTTAAGGGCAGAGTTGATGCTGAAAAACACTGCTACACTTATCCTCATTGAGGGACAGAAGTATCTTAAGTTTTGATTTACACCCAATTTTAGAAAAGGGAGATAAAAAGGCTAGATTTGATAGAAAATGAATGAATGGGAAAAAGAAATGAAAAATGGTTTACCTTTTCAGAAAATCTAAAAGGGCTCAGACCATCAACGTCAAGCTGTTTTTTTTTCTACGTCCACCACACTCGCTTTCTTGACTCTCTCTCTCTCTCTCTCTCCAAACTATATGCCTATATGGGTTTGTTTATCTCTCTCTATATATGCCATATGTTATGCCTGAGAAATCGAGAATTTGGGCTGACAAGAGAAAGGAGCACCGATGGAGCCGGGATATATGGGACCCAACACAAAGGACGGATCTAACGAGGGTCTGGGGCTTCTGTTAAGGCTCCACACTGCTCCTTTTTACATAAACATATGACACTGATTTTAACAGAGAAGGTAATTAACTACTGTGGTATTTTCTCAGCTTTTGAGGTTTCACTTCACACGCAGCCCAGGATTTTAATGCTATAATGCAATGAAGTTGGTCATTTTTCTGCTCATCATTGCAGAAAAATTGCACAACCCTATCCACTGATGAACACATTTTAATCTTCCCAATCATAGTCATGGTCAAAATAAAAATAAAAAAATAAAAACAAACATTGGTTGTGGTTAATGTTAAAACATAAGGGCTCAAAGATGTATATTTATTTGCACTTTACTCCCTAAAATATTTTAAAAGATGTTTCTTGTCTCGTAAAAAATCAATTGTACTCTAAAAGATAGTTCAAATAGTAACATAAATAAGTTATAAATTCAGGTGTTCTAAATTAAAATGTTGACAACTTTTTGAGATCAGATCCAGAGAGATTTAATTTTTACATATACCCTAGTTTTAGCATAGATGATCTACCCTTTACCGAATCGGGATAGGAATTAATAGACGTATGCATAATTTGATCCAGATAAACTTCATCGTTAAACTTAAAAAAAAATTGTGCCAATTTACATGTGTGACACATAGCAGGTTGGTAGAGGTAAAATGAGATGAATGTTTTTTTTTTGGGGGGGAGGTAAGATAAATGTTTAGTGTTTGGGGCAGAATGCCTACCATTTTACAAAATTCATGATGCATTATGAAACTTTAAAATATTTCACAAGTCAATTTATCATTTTTCTCTTTCTATTATGCATGTCTTTTCTCAACTATTTGGTTTTGGCATTTTATATTCATGCAAAACTTTAGCTGCCCACTTTCTAATTTAAGCTAGTAAACAAATTTGGTAAGTAAATTATGTCATTTTAATTTGACCATTAATTGACTTTATTATATCTTACCTACGATAACTTGTGCGAGAAATAACTAAGATTAGTAAAAACTAATAAAAAAAACTACTAGAGTTCGAATGGATTCAATTGCAATTAAAATGTACTCCAGAATATATATTATCTTTTTTGGTTATGTGGTTTAGTGACAAAATCTCTGGGAGTTCAAATGTAATTAATCTTTTCACTATAATGTGAAAGTATAATTGTGTAGGTCAATCAGACCATGGTAGGAGCAATGTGCTAATCCTAATGAAAACAAAAAAGAAAATTACTGAAAAACAGTTGAGTAACACTATCAATGCTTTTATTTAGTTCAACCTTCATAAATGATTGGTTTCATTCAAGAAAAACACAATTATTTGATTAATAAGACAACGATCAGACGCTGTATTTTATATGGATGACTAAGCTTGACCAAAATGAAGGAATTCTGATGTTAAAAAGATCTAAAGCCAATCAGTAAATAGCATTATTCACACAAAGGTATTCCAGTAATTGTAATTAAATTGAAGTTTGAAAGCAAGGTGCCAAAAAAAAGAAGGGAAAAGACAAAAAAAAAAAAAACAGATTTTACACAAGAAAATAATGTGGGAGACATAGGATCACAGCCACTGTTTGGCATATGCAATTCAAACACCATTTTTCTGTGTCCCCCAGAAATCATTGAACTAATAAGTTAGGGTAACATCCCTATCTCTCAAAGGACTGCTCAGTCTGTTCAGTTGACTTGGATGAAATGGAATTTGGCTCCTTTAACAAAAGTCCAAAACACTCTTTGGGTACCTACCTATAAGCACATGCCACCATGTGAGACCACACATAAATGGATGGCTCTGATATGTCCCTTTTGAGAGAGAGAGAGAGAGAGACAGAGAGAGAGAGACAGAGAGAGAGAAGGTGTGTGTGTTCTAAAGTCTAAAATGTGTTGAAAAACATGCTACAAACTGCCCTACAGCATTGGCCTTCAAGCTTGTAGACAACTTAAAGAGTACAAACATGCATTCTGGAGACAAATGTGAACTTTTTTTCTTCTCTAGTGTTTGGTAGGTGTTTAGAAGACAGAATAGGTTCATACAATTTCTTGTTTATTTATATATGGACACCCAATAAGTGGACATGGATTCTCTCTCTCTCTCTCTCACACACACATCCAAAAAGGGGTCCCCAGCAAACAATTTTCAGCATGCTAAATTTGATGAATCAAAAACTCCAAACTCAAAAACACAGACGGATGTGAATTATGTCAATTCATTAAATTTTTTCTTTCAATTGGGTTTTGCCAAGGTATGACACAAGATGGACCCAACATTGCAACTATTGGCAAGTACATCCATGTGGGGGTGGGAGGCATGTGCATGCATAGGAATCCACCTGGAAAGTGCCCTTTGAATGAAGTTTTAACCATAATGAGACCCATAATCAGGAAATTGCCCACCTTTTTTTATTATTATTATTATTTTACAAAATCAAGGTGGCAAACTCCATAAATAAGGCATTTTCTAATAGTGTGTGCTGTCTTTAGTTTAAATCAAAACTTTAGGCCTTTAATTGCATGCTAGCTAGAGTCTCACCTCACAAGCCTGTCACCAACCCTCAAAAAATGCCCAGTCATAGAACGCCACGTAAGCTTGAAGTTCAATGCTGACTTCTTCAATTCGAAGACAAGATGACATTTACAAGAAGCAAGGGTACATTATTTCTCACCTTCTATGCATATTATTAGTCTAAGTTTGACATGTGGGCTATGATTAATTTAAGAGTTAATAATATTTTTGGTCCCCTAAATATGTATTTTTTAGTTATTAATATATTAATTTTGTCAATTTGATCCCTAAACTATTTAATTCGTGTCACTTTGATCCTTAATCATACAATCCGTCAAATTTTTTGACAGAAGTGACAACGTGGTATTTTTTAAGACAATATCACGTGCCCAACATATGATAATGTCATAAAAAAACTTAACGGTTGGTCTAAGATTTAAATAAATAAATGAAAGAGTCCAAGTTGCCTTTATTAAGTTGGACACCAATTTTAATTTGTTTTCTTAATTGCAAATTTTGAAGGTGAAAGTGGGGCCAATTTTTGTATTTTTTTTCACCAATCTAATTTTGCCAACTAGACATTATGATGGAGTTAGATAAGGTACACAAGTAACCAATTAGATGGGTGTGTGGTGGGGCATTTGATGTGGACTCAAAGAGATGGGTCACCTTGTCAAGAAAACATATGAATAAGTGGCATTTATGTTTTGAATTTAAGAATGTTTGTGTCGGCTTCTAGGGGGAGTGTATCACATATTGAAGGCAAGGCTCAACATGCTTCCCTATTCTTTTCTAATATCTTTTGGGATGGGTTTGGGTTTGGGTTTGGGTTTCGGTCTACTTGTTTTTTTTTCGTTGAAAAATGATATTTTATTTAATTAAGGCTAAACATCAGTCTGGTGTAGAAAATTCTCACATCATTAACACTAAGCTGTTCTTTAATACAGTCTAAATATGAAACCCTTCACATGCTTGGGCAGGGCTCCCATTCTTGCAAGAGTGTCTGACCATTTGTTGGTTTCTCTCATCTCCTGTGTGATCCGTGTTTCCAGTATGCGCTCCATTAACCACCTGCAATCAGTTAAAAGAGGACGGACTATAGACATGATGCTTGCTGGGTATCGGTATTGTGAAGCAGGTCGACCACTGGCTGTGCTAGTTGTAAGCCTGACCTTAGGGCCCATAGTGCAGCTGCCAGACTAGTAAAAAGGCTAACATTCTCATAGAAGCCCACAATCATTTGGCCCACTTCATCTCTGAAGAGCCCATCAACTCCTGCTTGGCCTGGATTATCTTGGGTTGTTCCATCGGTATTTAGATTGGCCCATCCATACTAAAATGGTGTTCTCCGGGCCAAAATGGTGTTTTAATTTGTGAAAATTGAAAATGAGTCCTCCTAGATGGATTTATAATGACTTGTGTTCTGGAATAAAACTTATTTAGAGGTAAGTTCATGTTTAAACTTATATATTGGTATATAAATCTACTTATTTTTTAAATCTAAAAATTACCCTTATCGGTGTTAATTTTGTCAAATTATAAAAATTCACATAGGTTAAATTATTGAAGTATATATGAAAACTCTTCATTAATTTATATATGGAAACCATTTATTAAATATTATGATAATTAACAGAAGTTTTATATATATTTTGATAGTTATATATGAGAAGCTTAATGTGCAAATAAATTGTTGGTCTGTTAAGTCAAAATCGAATCACAAAATTTTCTTAACAACAATAATGCATAATATATGGAGACTAAACAATGTCAACATAAGTCAGTAACACGAATGTTAATATATAGTAACATTCGTGTTACTATATAATTAAAGTTACAATTAGGTTTGTGTTATCAATATAGTTGTGTTACTATATTGACACTAATGTTACTATAGTGAATTTTAACATACAATTGTAAACTTTGAGATGTATATTATGTAACATACACTTTAATATTCACAGTAACATTAAAGTTTTGTGCTCGGTAACACATATAATTTTACAAAATACAAGACAATAATTTTTTTACAATAACATCAACTATCTAATGATTTTAGCGAAAATACGATTCATAAATTAAAAATTTTCAAAATGATGAGTAATAACACACGATCGACAATTGAATTACGACACTCAACACCAATTGTGAATATCAGAATATCGAAATTCTAAACTCTATTTTTCGGTTCACGTATTGTAACATTAACTTTTTCTACAGTAACACAATTAAAAAATACTCGAATGTCTTGCGCAACAAAAAAATCAACAAAGTCAAAATATATAACACTTCAATTTAGTACTAATGTATGAGTTCTCTTGAATCTTGGTTATAAGGTTAATGTCCACTTTGATATAATTAAATCCTTAATTGTTATTACTTTTTACAATATTACCATTTTTTTGTGAGCATGTTACTATTTTTTAGTGAACATGTTACTGTATTTGTTGAGTATGTTACTATTTTTATTTTTTAAATATTAATATTTTGTCGATGGAGTCAAAAGTAAACTAGAATAGTAAATTAAAATTGTATTTTATGGAATGTAATGAGTTTGAAATTTAAATATGAACGATTTTTGGTAAATGCCGATTTCTTGAAATATATATGGCTAGTTATTATGTCTATAAATGTCGTTTATAACATTCATATAGGGAAGGGTTACAATAGTAAAATAAAAAAAAACGGATTTAAAATGAAATAAATTTCCTTAACAAACTTATCTTCAAATAAGTCAATATAGAGGGACCGACCTCCAAATTTTTATTTTTATTTTTATTTTAGGAAATTTGGGGGCCAATTTCCTTTTGTGGATTTATTTAAACTTAAGTCCAATCAAATATTTTATTTCGTAATAAGTCCATTTTGATCTTCATCGTTCAAAATATTTTTAATATATTTAATTAAAAATTTTAAAAATAAAAACTCATAACTTTAAAGAGTTATATTAGCATTAAAATTGTTTATCTATCATATCTATATATAGATTAAGATTATTTTATATATATATATATATATATATATATATATATCTCACACACACACGCACACATATATATATATATATTTTTTTTCTATCTATATTTATATCTATACTGCTTATAAATATCATCATCTGCGAATTTTTTTTGATAATGCAATCTATATTTAAATATATGTCATATTTGATTTTTAAGTATACAAATACAATTATAATACAAACAATAGCATCACAATTTAATTAATCTCTTTAACAAAGAAAATACAATAACTTCATAATGCAATTAGATGTACAAATACTTAAGAATGAAAATTTTTCAATGAATTATAAACAAAGAAAATAAATGTCTAAAAAGTCCGAGAAAATACCTAAAAATGACATATTAAGTACTTAAAGAGGGGCAAAATCTATCAATAGTTTAGATTTATCAATTATTCGGCATATAATTTGTTATTCAATTGAATAACTAGTATTAATATTTTTTATTTTTTATTTTATTCTTAATAAAGTCAATTATTTATTTATTTTTGGAAGGGGAAGGGAAAAGAGGAGAGGGACTTGAACTCCTTTGACCTCAAAAAGGCAAAGTCTTTACAAAACTAGGAGTACCATTGGACCAAAAATCCATTGGATAATTAAATCAATTATACACAAATAATTTATTATTTAATTGAATTATCATCATAATTTAAATTTTTATAAAAAAGTTAGTATTTAAATATTTTCATTAAAATGCAATTTATATTCAAATATATGCCATATTGGATTTTTTAGTATACAAATAATATTATAATACAAACAATAGTATCACAATTTAATCAATCTTTGTAACAAAAAAAATTGTAATAAATTCATAATGTAATTAGATGTCCAATATTAAGAATATCAATCTTACAATGAATGTTCATTATAAACCCAAAAATAAATGTCTAAAAGGCCCAAGGAAATATTTAAAAATTATAGATTAAGTACTCAAAAAAGAGTAAAATAGATTAATAGTTTAGGTTTAGTAAAAATAAAAATAAAAATTAATTATTCGGCATATGATTTATTATTTAATTGAATAACTAATATAAAAAATTTTAATTTCTTATTTTATTTTAATTATTCTTATAAAGTCAATTATACCCACATAATTTATTATTCATTTTAATTATTAATATAATTTAATTTTTTTTACAAAAAAAATAGTATTTAAATATTTTCATGTGTAACGCAAGTCGTACGTTCTAGTGTGTGTCTGTGTGTGTATATATATATATATTGATAAAATAGTAACATTCAAAATAAAAAAAAATAGCAACATTCAAAAAAAAAAATAGCATAGAATATGAACATTTGTAATATATTTAACAAAAAAGATAGTAATTTTAGGATAAAATTTTAGCCACACTCCTTTTAATTTTTTATATCTATAAAACACCCCTCTATATCCTAAATCTTCACTAATACCCCTTGTCAGATTAAAAACTTTAACTTTAATGTAATTTTACTAAATTGCTTAGAATTTGTTTGTTTGTTAAAATAGTGGTTTAACGCCAGAGGGTGTCAATGATGTTTAAATATAAACTATAAAAAGTGTCAGTGATATTTTATATAATATAAACAGTATCTTTATAAATATAATAAACTTAAAAGAGTGTAACTGAAATTTTTTCAAATAATTACGATTATATAAATTCATGGGCCAAGATACTGGCCAAGGCCTAAGGGTAGACCCCAACTCAAAGTTGCACTTTTAGTTGTTGGTCTGGCCGTGACGAACTAGGTCGGTTAATCAATCACATATAATTTAGATTGTGTTACACTCGAACATGAATTCCATTAGAATGTACTTGCATATGAATATGCTAACATTTGAAAATTCAATCCGATGTATTGATCAATCTTTTTCATTAATTATTCTTGTAATTAATAAAAGAGCAAGTCCAAATCAATTCATAAGTTTAACATGACCTATATTTACACAAACCAAACCAATCTACAAGTACACATGACACAATCCAGGAAACCCAAGTTCAGCTGGCATGAGAGGATGGATCAAGAATGACCAAGGCCGCTGGATCACAGGGTTCTATGGGAAGCTCAATCAGACCTCGAGCCTTCAAGCGAAGATGTGGGCGCTTCTCATTGGACTTGAACTTGTTAAGGAGCAAGGTTTGAAGGAAATGGAAATGTAAACTGATTCTTTTGAGGCGTATACTCTTCTATCACAAACCCAAGCGTTGTGCCATTCAAGCAAGGGGTTAATCACTAAATGTAGGTGATGGGTATAATCCAGGCAGTGGAGCATAGAGTAGGGACCTCAGACGTCCCTTCTTGGTCTCCATGGGGACACCAAATACGTCAACGATTACCTGCATGATCTCTATTAGAAAAAGTCTGACACTTGATATTCCACGTGAATTTCAGGGTAGTTGACACATGTTAGTGACTAAGGCTCTTGCATGTGAATAGCTTCACACACACTAAACCAAGAATGAGATTACCCCTAATCATTATCCTTTAAATTAAGTTTACACTCAACTTACACTATAAAAACCCTCTTAAATACAGGGTTAAAGTAGGTAACGATGAAAAAAAAGTAGCATTTATCTTTCTCTCTATCTCCATAAAATGCCTTTTTCTTCATGAGCCATTCTAGTTAAAAAAAAGTTCGATTAAGACCATATCGATCCCTTACTCTAAAATTCCCTTAATAAGACTAAAGTCATATAGTCGCAATATTCCGAGCACCGAACTCATAATTCCGTAACTACCACCTAGCATATTGGCCTGATTTACTGATTGATTCATCAGTAGGAATCTCCTGAGAAAAAGTAACAGTCATATCTATCATTTGCAGTCACACTTATGTAATATATATGGAGAAGATTCACAAATCCATGTCTAACTATGCCTACTTTGGTGCCAATCCACACTGATGTGCCCGTTGTACAAATCACACTTCTTTAGGGTTGTTTTTGACTATTTTGTAATTATCAAATATGATTCAATTTACAAGAATAACATATTTTGTTACATAATTTTGGTGGTGCTGTGATAATGGATTGTCCTTTCAGATTAGTAAATATAACTCAAATCGAATATTTTACAATGGAGGAGACCTTTATGGTTACACCCAATGAGAGTTATTACTTACTGGTTGTCCCTCACTTTTTTTTATTAAAAAAAATTAGACAGTAAATGACATCACCACTGGCCCACTAGTACAATTAATCAA